ACATAGATCGATTTAATACCGGGTTTTAGAAAAACAAATTTAGAACATAAATCTTATTCTTTCGTTTTTTTACCGCTGTATATTGTTTAATTTCTTTTGAGATATTATCAAACTTTTCATCGATTTTAATAATCACATTTGTTTTTCCTAACAAATTCATCGAAGTGACTTTTAGTATTGAATTAAATTATCTAATATATTTTAAAAAAAACTTTTTATATTTCACTTATCATACACCTATTAAAACTATAATATTTTAGAAACGAACATTTCATTTGTCTATACCTTAAACTGGTTTTTACGGCATAAACTTTATCAAACGGTTCTTTAATTACCTGAGATACCAATATCATAACCAAAAATGAGTCCGCCCATGGCAGCAACAATGCAGGTTATCAACACATAAGAAGTGAGTTCTCCAGGATAGTTCTTGATTGGACCACCTTGATTACCATTCAGTTCGAAACCACCACCGGCCATCTTAAAAATTGAAGAGAGGAATTAGTAAATATGGATAAAGATTTGAAGAGAATAGAAGAGTGAGATTAGATTGCAGTAAGTGAAAAAACAAAGAGCCGAATGAGGGAATATATAGGCAACTATTTCCTGAGATAATTAGGAATCAGTTTCCTACTTAATTACTAAAATTCGTGCGTGGGTGGAAGATTAGATAATTAAGTCATAATTCTAAAATAAAAATAGTATTTGTTTGTAAATGCCTCTATAATATTTGCTTATGAGATAATTCAGCTTTTGTTGGTAGAATAGCAAGTTTCATATTAATTTAAGTTTTTATTAGTACAAATTTTAAATTTAAGTTTTTTTTGGAGAGAAACTATTAATTTAAGTTTTAGCACACAAATCATTTTAATACCATAAGTTCTATTGTTCTAAATTCTCCGTTCAATTCCCAAAATCAAACTCAGAAAATTAAATTGAGATTTTCGTTAAAAAAAAAAGAGTAAGACGTGTGAAATGTGAATTTGAATTTGAAAGGTAAAAAGATATAGATTCACATCATTGAGCTTCAAACCATAATAGACATTTTCAAATTAAAAAAAAAACCTATTAAACATAAAAGGGTACTTGCATGTATGTATGTATATATATATATATTTTTCAATATATTAAAAATCAATGCTAAATCTAACAACAATATTATAAAGTTTGTAAATGTAGAAAGAAAAAATTTAACCAAAATTCATTAAAAATATATATATATTAAAATGACATTGAAACATATAGGATTGATATATATAAAGGTAATAATATTTAAATAGACACTTTAAAAAATTTTAAAAATTGCTACTTTTGTAAAATATTATCGTGTTACCATATTTGATAATGTAAATTACATCCATTAAAATTTCTCAACATTTCTCAACATAAATTAAAAAGTTGGGATTTTATTAGAGGTTAAACTTGTAATTTAGTTTAATTTTATTTATTTAATTTTAGCAAAGGTGGGTAAAGTTGGGAACCTTCCATCTTAAAAATTACTTGCATTGACCCTAATATATTGCATACAGTGCCAGACTAAAATTATCTTTTTATTGTCAAAATTACTTTTCTTTAAAATATGATACGATAAATGGATAAAATTAATTTTAAAAAAATTTAAAATCATTTTGAAGTGATTTTTCGAAGTATTAGAATTAGAGAATTATAATTAAATTACTTTCACAAAATTAATTATAATTTATCTTTTTTCCAAAATAGTCCTTCTAAATTATACCGTCACTCCCAAATATGCCGCTGAAATAAATAACGGCAGTAGACTACCGTGCCGGAGACCGAACTAATAAGAAACAGGTACCGGAATATCCATCTCACCGCCCTTTTTCTGCTCCGCCGATCAACTCCACTTGTTTTCTTTGTTCATTTTTGTTGCAAATTCGTTTTCTCTTTATGATTGTGAAAGTATGAACAGCCGCTTTTAATCGGAAGAGAAGTTTGCCCTAATATGTTCATTATTGCACTCTTATCACAGCCGGAACCAGAGAATTTCCTCTATCATTTGCTCAGTTTCCGCCACCAAACTCAGTAAGGTACACTGTATTGGTTGAACTTAATAAGTATTTTCATCATGGTTGATGAATTGTGATATTTAGATTGGTTGATTGTTATTGTGAATTGTTGACTAATTTTCTTATTTTGTATGAAATATAGCCCAAGAGTAAACAAAAGTACAAAACAGTGGTAAACTATAATTTTTGTTGTTTAATATTATCAATTGGCTAAGAACCCAGACAACTAAGTTTGTGTATTCTCTGCTGCACTTTACTATGTATGAATGATTTCTTAGTGTCCTACACCTCATTTTGCTGAGCTTTGGCAACACCTTTTTGCCGTGATGAACACATGCTCTGACTCTGATCTCGAGCGATGAGAAGTGCAATTCTGATTATTGTTTTTGCTTTTATTCTTCCCTTCAATTAAGAGATGAGACAGTGTATATTAGATGAGGTATATACTAACAGTCTATTTCAAATACTTACAGAATTACATTACATTACTGATTATTTAGCAGAAGGAAGTGATGAGTGGAGTCATTCTAGGCTTGCCAGGTTCCTGGGCTGATGATAACCGTGAACCTTCTGATCACTATACTACTAAAGTTGGCGGGCTTCCTGTAAGTTGCTGCTGTAGGTGATAACCTTCCGTGTATGTATGTTTTGTTGATGGTAGTTGCAAGCTACATTTAACTTTTGCTTCAAACAGGACTTTCCTTTCCAAAATGTCAACCCCACTCTGCTAGACTGTTCTCAGTGTGGAAATAAACTATGCCTTATTTTACAGGTTATTTGATTTTGGAACTTATACTTTTCCTCTTCTGTTTCTGATTTTATTTTCTTCCATTCTAGTTCGAATTTGTAATTAGGTATATTTAAGATAGGTGTGTTTCCTTGAAGGTTTATGCTCCAGTTTCAATAGAAAGGACAGGGATAGATGAGCGCCTCCTCCTTATTTTTGGTTGTCTAACTCCAGAATGTGGGAACAGTAAACTCGGGTCAGTGTTATCCCCCTCCTCCCCCCAAAATCATCTCATTGACTGAAATGAAGAGGAGTTATATAGCTCTAGCATTGTTCTTTGACTTTCCTCTCATCTTTGGGCTGTGCAGTTGGCGAGCTCTTCGTGTTCAAAAACCATGCAACCAGGAGTTCTCCAAAGTTTCTCAAGAAATTAGCCCTTTGACGACATCAACTTCAGCTACAAATACCAACTGGTGGGAGCAATTGGATGAAGAAATAGATGAAGAAATGGATTTGGAGGAGCTATCAAGAGCATTTTCAGGGGCTGCAACCGAAGTTTCTCATGCCAAGAAAATTCCTAGTAGATCAGATTCAAAGATTATCACAAAAAGTTTAACCTGGAGCCCAACAAGAGTGGTTGACCTGAAAACACCAGGTATGGCACCTTGACATTAAGAAAACTCTACAAACTTCAGTGCTAAAGTTTCTTTTTGTTGGTTGTAAAACCTATATTATTGCAAGCATAAACTTCCCCGAGACTAATGCAACTGAATTATCTTTTGGTAGTAAATTTCATGTTTGATTTTTGTCCCTGGATACTTCTTAGCTACGTGCACTATGTATTTTTTTAAAATGTATAGAAAACAAGAAATATCTTTAATTCGTAATCTTAAGAGGTACAAGAAAGGGATAAGATCCCACGAGGCCAAGGTTACGAAACCTGAAAAGATATTTAGCATAGATTTCAGGAAAACACTCCATCTTTTTACTTCCCAAACTCTAAAGTCATATCTAGAACTTGCAGCAACGCCTTATACAGATGGGTGGTCCATTTGGAAATTAAGTTACCTCTATCATGAAGATCTCTCATGAAGCTTTAAGTTCCAATCGTTACCATCCTCCTTCCAGAATTCAGCAATGCTTTCACGTTTTTAATTATTTGTGTAGGATATTGAACTGATTATGCAGAGGATATTCAGATATGATATCCATGAGTCCTTCCACACTGACTTCCAGAAATTCCTGCACTTGCATGTAAAAGATCAGGGGCCTCTTGAAGATGATTGAGAGATATCAGTGGACTAACCAAAAAGGAGCCATTCCATATAAGCTTTTGATTACACTATGCTATTGATATATAGTGTGTTTCTAACTTTCTATAGGTTAGCACATCCAGTTAGCTAACAGCAAGGCTTTCGGCCTTTATATTGTCAATTCTCAAACCTCCAAATAGACAGGTTTAAATAGTAAAATAAGAACATGGTTTGCCAATTAATAAGTTATCTGAAAATCTGCACTGTCATCTACTTTCTTATTTGTCTATGTATTTGTTTTGATGGTGTGTTTAGAAAATTTTGTGTCATAATGTTATATCATATAAGTATTCATTGGTCTGTTTGCAGTGCTACCATGCTTTTACATCTATACTGAAGAAGAACCATCTTCTAAGGATATTTCTTTATGTTCCAATTATGCATCACTTTCCATAAAGGAGAATCAAAGTGATGCCGAGGACTCCATACAAGAAGAAACGTGGTCAGAAGAAGTTTATGAATATGATAAGGCTCTGACTGCTGATAGGACTTACCTAAAGTTCAAGAAAAAACTGGATGCATATCCAGAACAATGTTTCAGGTATTGTGTTGAGGTAATTTCGTTGTACATTTGAGCAGCCCATTATTAACATTATAAGGTTGATTGGTTCCAACAATATGAACTTAGCATTTGTGCTGCGCCATTTTCAGATACTCGTATGGTGGGAAGCCAATTTTGGGAAGAGCAGAGGATGGAGAAGCTGGGAAGTGCAGGGCATGTGGTGGATCAAGGCACTTTGAAATGCAGCTAATGCCCCCACTGCTATATTTTCTGCAGGAAGAAGCTGATGAACGTCAAAAACAGTTGCTGGAGACCTGGAACTGGATGACGCTTTTGGTATATACTTGTTCTGAAGTGAGTTCTCTTCTCCCTTTTGCTACTCCAGATTAGGCAGAGGAAGTAATATCTTCTTTTGGCGATGCATTTATGCTCATTCACACACACCCCCACACTTCTTAAAAAAGAAAACTTATCTTGCTCTAAGATGAATTTGATTTTTAACCACAAGGAGTTGGCCTAGCGGTCACCAATGAAAAAGTGAAGACTTAGGATTTTAGAATTCTACAAGAGTTCTTGACATCCAAATGTAATAGGGGAAAGCTTGAGTTGTAAGATTAGTTGAGGTATGTGCTAAAATAAAATCCACCAATTAGTGGATGGTCTGTTGAAAATCTCATTATCGCTAATTATTAATTTGTCATTCTGGTCATGGAAGACTGTATAATTATATAATTTATATTCAACCATGCTATTTTCTGATATTATTATTGTTAATTAACTATATTCTCCTTCCTGTTGTCTGTCCTTTCTTAGAACTGTTCAAAATCTTCTGAGAAATCAGATGATGGGGACTGGATGATTACAGAGGAATCCGTTTTTGTGCAATTTGAGAAGCCCTTAAATGGGTCGGCAGGAGTTGGCTTCTTTTCCACAACTTGAATATGAGTTTAATTTCGGGAAGAAAAAGGTGAGTTATTCACTTCAAGGGAAATTTTTTAGGGCTTGTAATTTGATGTAGTATTCGTCATGGTTTCAAAAGTCTAGTTGACGTCTCAAATGGCTCGACATCTTCATTGGAGGAAACTTCGTTTTTCCATCCATATCGACGATATATTGGTAATTTCTCGAGATCGATGAAATATCGCTAATGTTGATTATCAATGGCCCAATTATTTAACTCGTAAAAGGCCAGATTTAGGAAATCTAGATTTGGTCACATTATCTGATTGATTGTTGATTGATGAGTAGAAATTTCATAATTCTATATGCTTTCTTCACAAATATGAAAAACATTTTATTTTGAACTGTTTATTAATGGAAGAATGATATTGTTTAGAGCGTAAAATATTTACTGGCGCAACTTTTGTACCTAGCACCTAAAATTTACTTGAGAATCTGAATATTATACTTAATTTGTAAAATAATTTTTTTATTATTCATCAGCTTATTTTTATTAATCAAGTTAAATATATACTATACTTCAAATTAATATGAATCAAATCTTAAATGGTAACATACAAGCAAAAGGATTATTCGTAACAAGATTCTGATAAGATCCCATGGGGCAAGAATTTTCAGTAACAAAAGCTAATAGAAAAAATCATTTCTGGAAAGAAGTTTCCAAGGTTAATGGTATTTAGAAACTAATTCTATTCTAAGATTTTTTTTAATCTATAAAACTAACTTGTTTTCAATGTTCTAATGAAGTTTAAAAATGTGAGGGTAAAAATTATGATTGAATCATAAGCAATCAGTAGCTCAAATTATACTATCCATTTGATTTATCAACCTCGTTGATATTTAATGACTTAAAATAACTAATATCAGAAACTGAGCATAACTTAAATTATTCAAAAGATAGAAAAAATCTAAATTTTATTTTAAAAAGATGTTTTTCAAGAGTATTTTATTTAAGGACAATGCTTGCTTGAGGGCAACAAAAATCTCCTACCTCATCTTTAAGTTTTTTTGGTGTGTTTTATGATGGAGGGAGAGAGAGAATTCTTTTAAAAATAATAATTATTATTATTATAAAAAATATAGTGGTGGGTTCTAACACAATCAATAGAAAAGTATTATTCTTTAATTTATTATGCGAATGATAAAATGTATAAGGTTAAAATAACATCTTGTTCCTATACTTTATGGCTCGTTTCATTTTAGTTCATTTTAGTTAATTTACTTTCAAAATTTATCTCAAATCTAATCAATTATTGATGTCACCAAAGATTAAGTGATAGAAATTAAATAGAATAACTCTCAAATAACAGTACCTAAATGATATGACCACTAAAATAGATTGATGTTGAGAGAGTTCCAATCATATGATATAGGTCGGAAACAAAATATGCAACTTTTTTTTTGTTTTTGAAAGACAAAATATGCAACTTTGACCCCAAAAGGGAGAAAATTACGAATGCCAACGTTCTTCTAACATGCTCAATTTTTAATTGATGTCGTCAAACTATTAGGATATTAAATTTTTGTCACACATCAACATTTCTATCAAAATTTTTATATATGTTGAATTAAATATCGTCATAAATGGTAAATTGACATTTTTATGGTATCGCAAAACAAAACAAAAATATATATATAAAATATAAAAAATATCAAATAAAGTATTACTAAGTCATAATATTAATATTAATAATTTTAACAAAGCTTGAAATATTCCTCTAACAATCTGTTGAACTCTGTCGTATTAAGTTTAAAATTTTGAAAAATAGCATAAATTAGAGAGCAACTAAAAGTCTTTTTTTGTAACATTTAAAAAAAACAAAAAAAAATAATGATATTTTTTTTAATACATATTATATTTATTTTATGTCGTATAGTTTTTCTTTTAATATTTTATATTTAATAAGTATCTAAAATTTAAATTTTATATTTAATCGCGTATTTTAAAGTTAACAATGACGGAGACTACGGCCAAGTCGGTGGTATTCCACTTGTCTGAGTTCGTCTGAATTCAAAACTCAATTGAGCCTTTTTTTTATACTTTTTTTTTTTTGTCTTTTATACTTTATTTTGTCCTTATAAATTAAATCAATCCATCAAATTCAATCTATTTAATTTATTTATTTATTCAATTTGCGTAAGATTGTAACCATTTTAATTTTTTTTAATTGATTTCGGTTAATTCAAACTTTCTGTTCATGTTAGTTTTAGTTTTTTCTTCAAGAAAAGTATTTTGATTTAATTAATTATTCGGCAATTCCTCTTTTTAAGAATTAAGACATTGGGTAAGAAAAACACCATAAATGTATTATGACATTGACAATATAATAGAGAAACCAGAAATTTTATTCCATAACTTCAAAATAAAAAGAATCCCTACCAAAACTACTAAATACAAGAGTTAATTTCTGGAAATAACAAAAAAAAAAAATGAAATTAAAAGGGCTAGCATATTGAACATAAGTGTAAGTGTGAAAATCAAAAGAAAATTAATGTAACCTACTAAGGTTGTGATTTTCAAATCCTAAATTTGAGGACGAACTTTAGCAAGTTGTTGAGGCACATATCTACTCCAAAACCAATGTTGTCTCCAAACGCAAGACATTTCTTCAATGGGGATGCCCTTTGTCTCCGGTAAGAACAAGTAGATAAATATGGTCATCACGGCCACAAAGAAAGCAAAGAAGAAGAACAACCCAAATTTCATATGGCAAAGCATGGTGAGGAAGATTTGGGCAATCAAAAAGGTAAAGAACATGTTCACCGACACCGTCACACTTTGAGCAGCCGATCGAATTTCAAGTGGGAAGATTTCGCTTGGAACCAACCATCCCAAAGGTCCCCAAGACCATGCAAAGGCTTGAACATATATGCAAATGAACAACACCACAACTCCAGCATACCACTTGGGTAAATAAGCAACCTCACCAGAAACACCAAATTTCCAAGCAATGAAAACAGCCACCAAAACCTATAAATGATGTCATGTTTATTAGAACTAAATCGATMGGGAGATAAAAAAATTTTGAAGAACTATTATTGGTCAATCATATTTTTTGTTCAATTTTGTTTAAACAAAATAATTAATAAAGCAGTTTGAAATAGTAAAATTCTAATTACCTGAAAAACGAACATGATGGTTCCACCGAGTAAGAAAAGAATCCTTCTTCCCCACTTATCAGTACCATACAAAGACACAAAAGTTGCCAAAACATTGATACCACCCGTAATGACAGAGGAAAGAAGAGAAGCGTTGTCTCCAAATCCAATAGTCTTGAAAAGCACCGGAGCATAAAACATGACCACATTGATCCCTGTCAATTGCTGAAAAAATGGGATTAAAATTGACATCACCAATTGTGGTCTATTTTGCCTCTCCCTCAAATTCCTCCATGGATGTGTCACTGCTTTAGCAGCAATACTTGCTACCACAATGTCTTGAAATTCAGCATCTACTTCATTTAAAGATACACCACGAATGCGTTGGAGCATGGCCCTTGCCTTCTCGATTTCGCCTCTTTCCAACATTGATGTTGGAGTATCAGGAAGAAACAAAGCTGAGATTGTGATGAACAATGCAGGCACTGCTGCACCACCTAAACTCACACGCCACCCCCATCCTCCATGAATCTTAGCAGTGCCATAGTTGACAAAATTAGCCACTAGAATACCAATAGTAATCGATAGTTGGAAAACAACATTGAGAGCGCCTCGGTATTTAGAAGGAGCCATTTCCGAGACATAAAGTGGAATAGACTGAATTGAGAATCCAATGCCAATGCCCAAACAAATACGACCAATAATTAGCATTGCAATATTCTGAGCAGCAGCATTAACGGCAGCACCGACCAAGAACACAAAGCCACCGAGAAGCATAGACTTTTTACGACCAAAGGTTTTGGTGACCCAAGATGCTACAAAAGAAGCCAAAAGTGCAGCCAAATAAAGAGAAGAAGTGAACATGGTGAGGGCAAGACTGTCAAACTTGCAGTACTGATTGGTAGAATTATCCRAAGCTTCTTTCTCATAAACAGATGGGAAAAATSTCTGMAGAAACGRAGYCATAGACGTGACGCCACCTAGTCACAAAAATAAAATAAGAATGAGTGAAAATCATAGGAAAAAAAAAGATGTGCTGAATGGGATATTATAAGTTTAGCCAAAAAAAAAAAAAGACGTAAACACAGACTGGCGGGTTTTCTTCTACATTTTCTAAGAAATAAATTTTATTCTTTCTTTTCTTTTTTAGTATATTATCAAATTCGATTCAATTTTAATAATTACCGTATTTATTTTTCATAACAAATTTATCAAAATTATTTTAATGTTGAGTTAATTTATCTAATATATTTTAAAAGCCTTTTAAGTGTCATAGATTTCTAGTCCTTAGAAACGAACATCTCACTTGTCCATATCTGTGTTTTTCCTACATAAACAATCATTTGATTACCTGAGATACCAATGTCGTAACCAAATATGAGTCCGCCCATAGCAGCAACAATGCAGGTTATCAACACATAAGAAGTGAGTTCTCCAGGATAGTTCTTGATTGAACCGCCTTGATTACCACTAAGCTCAAAACCACCGACGGCCATCTTAACTAGGCTCGGACCCAATAATCGAAGCGAAGAAATAGCAATATGGACGAAAACTTAGAAAAGAAGAGAAGATCAGATTGAGGAATGTGAAAAAATAAGAGCAGAATGTGAGAATATATTGGCAAATATTTCCCAACCTAATTAGGAATGGGTTTCCTGCTCAATAACCGAATTCCTGTATAAATAATGAGATAATTAAAGTGATAATTCAAAAAATATAACATTTTTTTTTAAAACTATATAACAGTATTTGTTTGTGGTACAATATTGAGTCATGTAAGTAAATATTCATTTTTAAATATAGTTTACAATTTTATAATAATAGCGTGATTTCAATTAAATAAATTCAAATGTAATATAACTTTCGACAATGAGATATTTTGATGTAATGAAAAGTGGTAGAAGTTTTTAATATATATTAAATTTAGGTTATCGATAAAAAAAATTAAAACAAAAATAGAATTTTCTTACAATAAGATATTTGCTTAAAAATAATTAAGTCCGTACAATTCAATTTTTCGTGTAACTTAAGTTTTAAGTCAATTGAAGTTTTAGAAGAACAAAAATGATATTTCATAGTTTCATAAAGGAAAATGAAAAGATAATTTTTATTCATGAACTTTGTAAATGTATCCATTTTTATCTAAACTTTCAATTTTATTAAATTACACCATAAACGTCGATAAATGTTGCAATTTTTCCTCTAAATTTTTTAAACTATTACTATTTTTACTCCTTGTTAAGTTTTCGTGAAAAAAAATATCATATATATATCAAATAAATTATTAAAAAACATTTATTTGGTATAAAATGATAAAATTCAAAAAAAAATCGACATTAGAATGATGGTTTTTTTTCTCTTTTGTTAGAATTGGTATGTTTTGGCAAAGTTTTTTAATTGATGGTCAACTTTGTACATGAATTAGACTTAATTTTGTATAATGCTTTATTTACATTAAATTAGTAAGTTTTTGAAGTTTTTTACATTATTTTTTTGTTAAAATTAGTGGGTTAATTAGCGAAAATTGAATATAGGATAAAAATGACAACACATATCTAAGTTTAAAATTGACGAAATTAAAAATTTAAGGTTTGTCAAATTCAGAGATAAAAAAATATCTTTTCCATACGCATACACAAAAAAGTAAGATGGTGCCTCATATTTTCAACACACTACCAATTAAAATATCTTCTATCTTTCGTCTAAAAGATTAGATTAGATTATTAAATTTAATCCATTATAAATAAATCTTTAAAAAAATTCTAATACGTTTCTAATTTTTTTATTTTGCGTCTAACAAATCTATAAATTTTTTAAAATATCATTAAAGGTAGAACATTCTTAGTTACAGAATTGAAAGTTCAGAAATCTAATAATATTTCAAGAGAACTCCAATTTCGACGAAAGTTTACAATGCACAATCAACTCCGTTCTTCTAAACTTGACTAAAGTCTAAAATCAACCTGTTGAACATGTTGAAAATTGATGTCGTCTTGTCTCGTCATCAATCATTCAAAGAAAAATGAAAAATGTTGATCATCTAAAAAACAAGAAGTAATTATCACTTACTAATCGGACTTCCATTGTACCAAAGCTAATGTATGGCGGCCACCACAGGCAACAAGTTTGGCAATCCAGCGGCCCTGCTCAGCCTCAGCCTCAGCCTCAGCCTCAGCCTCAGCCTCAGCCTCAGCCCCAGCCCCAGCCCCACGGGGAGGGGGAATGTCAATGGGAACTTCCTCTGGCTGCCCAGTCGTCACCTTCCTCCCATATCCAAGTCGGCCATGGTCGCCTCGCCCGAACTGCCATACACACGCCACGACCAATATAATCCGGACCGAGTAAAAAAATTTCATAGGAAAGGACAAAAGTTTACTTTTTAACTTCCCATATGTATTATGAGAGAAGCACTCCCTTCTTTCTCTCCACTCTTGTATGTAGCAAGAGTTGAGAGTTCCTAATCATAATGAGCTTTCAGAAAGCTGAACTTTGTTAGGTGTTCATTTCACAAGGTTTTCAAACGAACTCATGAAAAAGAGGTGGACTTCAAAATAATTCCAAATCTAACAGTGCACTTGACTTGACTTGCTACCTATGGTTTTAAATGTTAGTCTATACAAATATCTACTCATATAAATAAATAAATAAATACATGTTTATGTTAGGTTTGTATTAAATAATTTGTAAAAAGAACTTGAACGTTAGGGACTAAAATAAAATGTTTGAGAGTTGAGGCCAAAATAGAATAAACTAAAAGTTGATTGATCTAACATAAGATCTAAACTTGAATAATCTAATGAGAAAAAATACATTCAAGATAACAAAAATCTAAAATCTGTTTCATGGTATGATGTCTCAGGCAAGGTTCAGAATTCAAAAGAGCTAAGGTTCATAAACACAAATGAAAGACTGACCGAAAACATGCGGCCGTCACGGGTTAGTGCAACTGAGTGAGTGCCTCCACACGATACCTGTACCAACATATGAAATTGTGGCATATTCAACAATATTTCCACTTCTGTCACAAATAATAACACCATCCCTAATTCTAAACACGGTCCTGAAATTTAATTCAAGTGTTTGAAATATTCTCTACCCTCTTTTTTTCTTTCATTTCTTGTTCTCAAGGAACAAAAAAACCACTGATAGTTATTTCCTTTTGGTAATCATTCTTTGTTGACTAGAGGTGCAAGTCCAGATCAAAACACAGAATTATACTTTTACCTGAAATACTGAATCTTTTTTTCTTTTCTTTTTTTTTTAATAAGAAATGTTTGTTTTGCCATTAGTGCGTCAAACTAAATATCAAGTCATTACAAGCTATAATATCATCTCCAAACTTTCGTTTCAACTACCTTCTATATCCTCATCCTGGAAGCCTCTAAGACACTCCACAGTTTTAAGTAGAAGTTGTGGGGCACAATTTTAAAATAGACATGATTCGTACCTGAACAATGTCCTCGCCAGCCAGAAGTTGAACCTTCTGGGGAACCATTTTACTGCTCTTATCATTGTCTCCAAATCCAAGCCTCCCATGTTCTCCTCGTCCCCATCCATAAACCTGCAACAGAAGTGAGCTTACTCTTTCTATTCAAACAAAGACAATGGAGAATACATCATTCAATCTATCCATAATTCATCAGCAAAATTGACCGGAAGCTATAAGCCATGCTTATTGACGACATAACCACTGCTACTTTAACTATGAACTATAATTTTTTGCACTCTCAAATCCCAAGAAAAGATGAATTAGACAAACATCAAGCAGATCCGTGTTTGTCATATAATCAATTAAACACAACTAACACAAGGACACATTATGTGATGTTTGTACTAGAATCAATGCCAAGCCAAAGATGATTCTAATGTTATTTCTTTATGAAAGTATATAAGGTACTTGTGGCAAATGCACTGGCAAATATTAAAAATTATACAGCTCTATAGAGATCAACTTCTCTAATATATTTATATCAATGTATTACAATATATGTTGATATATAGAACCCCTCTTCAACATTAAGTGGGGCAGAGAGGGAGAGAGCACCTCTCCACTATCTGTCAATGCAGTTGAATGCCATCCTCCAGCTGCAATGTCAACCTTTGGATAAAGATGTGGCAAAAAAATTAACAAGGTAGCCATATCAGCTGGTAATTTATTCATGGCTAAACATAGAAAAAAATGTATGAATAGAAAGAAATGGAATATAGACTACAAACCAAAGTAAGACCAGTAAGGCCTTGGACAGGAATGGGCTGTGATCTTGGTTGGGTGTCACCAGTTCCAAGCTGTCCGTATTCATTATTACCCCATGCCCACAGAGTTCCATCTTCTTGGAGAGCCAAATTATGGAATGCCCCAACCGCAATAAGCCTCACCATATCAAGACCTTGAACTCGCACAGGAACAGATATTTGCGTTCTGCATAACAAGAATAATTAGCATATTTATGAGGATGACTATGACAGCGCAAAAATGTCAATTATAGTTCAAAATAAGTAAACAGAAGAGAAGTGTTCAGTGATATCAAAGTTAAAACTTAAAAGTTAAGAGACCATACATATCTCCAGGTGGCCATGGTTGGCCCCATGTCCATACATGTCCTTCGCGTGTAAGTACCACAGAGTGTGTACCTCCTGCAGCAACCTGTAACAGAGGAAAAAAATACATTTCTCAAACCAAGCATGAAACAATGTTTCGTGAGGTATGCATACAAGACCAGAGTCCTAAGATATTAAAGAAGGGACATGCCAGAATCCAACAAAATCTTTCTACCAGCTTATCATACTAACTAAATGATATGTGCTCCCCTCCTACATTTAAATTGCAACATAATTGGAATGTCTAGTTCTAGTTTGAATCAGAGAAATCCAAGTAATGTCAGGAATAAATTATGCCAGATTTATCTATAATGTGATAAATTCAAGAATAATCTGGACCTCATTAGCCTAGTCATCTAAGAGGCAAGTTTCAAATTCAAATTTCATTGAAGTCATAGGTTCAAAACCATGTTAACCACGTAGCTAGGATATTTAGTATTCCACGAGTTCTTTGACACTAAATGTTTTAAAGCCAAGCATTTGTATCATGAGGTTAGTAAAATAATAATAAGCTAGTCCCAAACACGGAATTTAAAAAATCAAGAACATTTTGTTCTCCATCATCCATCGTGGTTGACACAGTTTAATTTCTTTTATATACAAATACATGAAACCCCCTCATTAATTCGTTAATTCGTTAATGGTGGATCCCAATTATTCTAAAAAACAATGGAGTATCATAACATTTGCAAGTCCCAATAAAAAGCCTCAGATAATGTCATGCTGATGCAAATTGCTCGAGCTTGGTCTGCTTGTCCAGCCGAGCAAATCTTGAGACACATAATCCCGCTCCACACTTAGATCCAAAAGATAACTTATTTGACCATTCATTAAACAAAAACGCAAATTTATGGCCACCTATCAGCTAAATTTATGAGAATCCACCTCAGATGAAACCATGAACCGCACATTAAACTTTTTTTACTTTGGGGATATGAGATGGGACTACATTGAACTATAACAAAAACAAAATCTTAACTCCAGGAATTCAACCACGACACTCGAAAAACTTAACTCAAGGAATTCAGCAGCCATACTTAATGAAAAGTGCTTGAATAGCAGGGTAGACATGATCATGTGTAGCACGTTAAGTACAAGTTGTGTGGTGCATAGCACCTATACGTAACTGAGTAATACACAAACATCATGTTAATTCTCACAAATATGTTACCTGACGAACTATTAGCTTTGGTGCACATCGTTGAGGAATTGCTATATCTCTTCTTGGTAGTCTACCAGTCTCATCTTTCTTCTCAGGTTCTTCACCACACTGACCATATTCATTACCACCTGTACGATAAGCTTTACGTGCTTACTTGCATATATTGATCTAAAATCATAGGGCACAAGGAAAGCTATCTCCAAACAAGTTCCTCCACTGCTCCAAGTAACCCTCCTTTCAGTTGCTAGGAGAATGCAAAAAATTCAAGTAGGAGAACGCAAAGGATTTTATGGATCCTATATAAGTGGATGTGATAACGAAATCAAGAATGACCCTTAGAATCTTTATTTAAAAAGGGATCAATTGATTGATATGTGATTTTGTTGTTCTTGCACTTCTATGCGCCTCCACTTGAGCTTATCTCTTGCCTCTTCAAGAGAAAAGGTTTCGATGCCTATTTTACTTCTTAAAACGTTTTTCTTTTCTGAAAAGTTACTTCTTAATTCTTAAAACATTGATAACTAGTACTGTTATTATTTCAAGCCCAGTATTATCAGTCAAACAGTTAGCCACGGATAGGAACTTAAGTACCCCACGCATAAGCTCGGCCTTGATCATCCACAGCCAGACAGTGCCACCCACCAATAGCCGCCTAAAAAACAGGACCATCTGATGAAACTTTCTCTAGAACACTGATCAAGTAGTACTCAGAAGTTCTTCAGCACAAAATTCAAAAGTTACATACAGGACACCACACTTATAGTGATTACCTGCACAATCTTAACATTTGCAAGAGCTTTCACCTGGCTCGGAATGTTCTCAGCTTTGGTTTCTGCTGGATGCCCAAGAGTTCCTCTCTGATTCCAACCCCATGTAAACAGCTACAGACCCCGACAAAATTGGAACAAAAATTTTGTCAAAAGATAATGAAGCAGAACTGAAGCTCAAAAAGAGCGATTCTAGTTGAATGTAACTGACCTTGCCATCTTCGCAGATGGCGAGGGAATTTCGGCTACCAGCAACGACAGAACAAGCTTTTTGAGACTCAAGGGCTTTGATGGCGCAAACCCATTCGCTGTCCTCGTTGTTCCCCAATCCCAATTGCCCATCTTCACCTGAACCCCTGACAATTCATATAGTTTTTGGTCAATCAATTCAGTTGCTATCTATCGATGACAACAACAGCACAAAATTAGAGACAACCATGAGTACGGACCAAGCAATAATGGCAGTGTCGGCAGCCATTGAAAAGCGAAACAGAAAGCTCGAACAGTGGCGTGGCGTCCCGAAGCAACAATTTGAGCTGAACAAATGGGAGTTTAACAGTGATTCTAGTAAAGAAATGCGAACAATATAAAGTTGAAAAACGTAAGTGAAGCCCACAAACGAAAGCAACTGAGAAATTCAGTAACGCACTGCCTTGTAGTTATATGGTACGGTGTATCCCAATAATTAGGGTAGTTTTATATTCTCGCACTAAAGAGAAATGGTGGAATTTTTCATTAAATATTTAGTGATACAACCACAATTTCAATTAAAAATATCTATATATATCGACATGTGAAGGTGGGTTCGAACACGACCATGATACATGCCTGAACCCTGTTCAAGTTAGGTAGTGATACAACCAAAATTGAAAGTAAAATTTAGATTTATTAAATAAAATCAGGAATTAAATGGTGTTATAGTTGAATACAAATAATAATATAATATGGTACTATTTTTTTCAATGGTAGTACAACAAAAATTGGATGGCGCCAATTTAAGCCTAACTTAAGTAATTAAAGTATATACTTCTTACTAAAAAGTTAAAGTTCGAATTGTCATCTTCACATATTGTTAAACTAGAAAAAAGTAGGGTAGGGAGATTTAACCTTTGACCTCATGGAAAAAAAATTATGTATCTTTACAACTGAGTTATGCTCATGTTGATAATGATATAGTAGGGTACTTTTGTTCTCATAAATCTAAGGTTTTTTTTAGGGTATTTGTTTGCTTAGTCCGAGGTCGTGGACTATGTAAAAGGGCAAAAATAATTTGAGATTATCTTTTTTATAATTTCATAAGATAAGACATGCGAGACAACGTAGTTGCGTAGTTGAGTGGAATGATTTATTATTTCATGTTTTGATTTTTTCATAATAATACTATCATACTCATATTTTCTATAAAGATACATAGTAACAATACTTGAAAAGGTGGTTTAAGTCGTGATTTAAAAACTAGTTTAAATTATATCTTATATCCCTATTGATGCATCAAACCATATTATTTTGTTAACCAAGCTAGTTTGTATTCTTGTCATAGATTTGTTTGTAGCTTGCATTTTTAGTAACAAGGGTAATGAGTTTGTTCGCTTTAGTTATCAATTCCATGAGTGTCAAATGGTAATCGATCAAATCTAGTCAATTCCTTGAATAGTCGAAATCAAATCTAACCATCTTTTAGTCAAATCGATCGATCGACTTTGATTTGACTCTATCGTATTCGTTTTTCTTTCCGTTGTTTTTCTTTTGGTACTTGAATCATAAGATTAAGATTAAGAAATATAATTAAAATATTTTAGAAGTTTAGGAAATAAATAGCCACAAATTAAGGACTAAATTGGATAATTGTACCTAATTTAATATAAAACAATAAATTTTGGGATTTAGGGTTGGAAATCAAACAACATTTTAGAAAAATGGAAGAAAAACGAAAAAAGAACTAAACTTTGGAGTGGAATTGATAATTTGATACTACCCAAGTTGGCTTCGAGCTTCCTGGTTCAAACGAAACCAAGGGCTTTGACTGCTACACATTGTGCTCCTATTCTTTCTGAAATGGGTTACATACAGGAAGCGCGAGAGAATCATGTGAAGAAGAAAGTAGAAGAAGGTATTATCAAATGTCGCTCTCGTCTTCTAAACCTTTAATCTGCGTTTGATTGCTGACGAATTGGGTCAATTCAAATTTTTTAGTCTGATTTTTCTGCAAGTCGTGTAGGAACTTTTGGAAATCTGCTGATGGTTTTTTTTTTTTTTTGGGGTATTATTTCCAGCTCTGCGCAGCAAAATGAAGCAGAAGGCGTTGAAGGAGTGCGATCATTACGCTTCCAGATATGCGGAATGCGCTTATGGCAGAACGTTATCCGTCGTCTGGAAATGTCGCAGTCAAGCTAAAGAATTGAACAGTTGCCTTCATCAATAGTGAGTCTCGATCAGTTTGTTTAGCTTTTTCGGTAGTTAAACAAAATTTCGGCCATGTTTTTATTCAAAATTTCCGGGTTCTGTTCTGATCATAACAGTGTGCAATGGTTCTTATCATCGTTTCTCACCCCTAATCATCATGTTTAGTCAAATTGATAAGAATCACTGTTGCCATTTTAATTGAGCGTGTCAGTAATAGTAACTTTAGGTGCTGGGTGTGACGACCGAAATTTTGAGCATGGATCTTAATTTCAAAGGATCGAGTTTGAATTTAGAGACATCTTGGTGCATATGAAAATAAGTTAAGCATCACCTATACGTCAAGGTGAGTCTATATGAGTCACCTTTTTTTATTATTATTATTATTGTTTTTTTACTAATCTGGAGTTGGAGCTTTGCTCCTCCATACCCGGGAGCACCCGCGCCCTATGAGTCACCTAATCTTATGCTGTTAATGGAGTGTTTTATGGCATGGGCAAGTGGGCATCGGGTGTCTTCTAACAGTAGCAAAAATATGTTGGATAATGTCGACTGACATGCATTGCACATCTTTCCTACGGGTTAGAGGTTTCTATATATGTTATAACCTTGAAAGTTGAAACAAGTATATCTGATAGTGGGTCGACATGAATGTTAAGTGGTGCTATGCAACAAGAGAGCCTAGATGGATGAATATTCAAGCAAGCCTTCATAGTAATGTAAGGCCTCATGATTCGGTTATTGATAAATGCCTACAAGCAAGTGTTGGTTCTTCTAGATGCCCATGCCCCCATGTTTTGATCTAGGTGGGTAATCTCATGTTGCAGTTTTCGGCAAATAAACAATAAAACAAATCTTGGCCTAGCAGAGAGGCAAGTGTTGTTTGAGTGTCATGAATTAGTGAAGAAGAGGGATAGGCAATGGTGCCATTCAAAATGCCTTCGCCTCAAGTAGAGGCAAGGTGTGAACTTTAAGCTTTAGGCTAAGCCAACTATGAGCAAGGATCTTAAATGGAGTGTTGAGTGTTGAGGCAGGAGTAGCCTTAACGATGTGAATATGAAAGTAAAAGTGTGGAGTGTTTAGTCAAAAGCTTAACTCTAATGGATGTGAAAGGATCTCGAATAGAGTGTTGAAGCAGGAGTATCCTTAATGACAAATAATGAATCGGAGTTGAATCGTCGTCTTTGCATCCATTTTACTCATAAATTATATTGGTTCTTGTTTCTTGATGGCAAAATTAAAATACAGTGGTGAACTTTAGAGAATTATGCAGAGTTCAACTAAAATGTCTTAGAAAATGTTGACAAAGGCTTGAGGTCTCTTAGTCATATTGGCTTAGAGGTCTCAAGTTCAAACCTTCTTGTGAGGTTAATACAAAAAATCTTTGATGTCTCCTGAATTCGGGCCTTGGGGCAGGTGCGGATGCCCCTGGGTATAGGAAAGCAAAACTCTAATTCCCGGTTATCAAAAAAAAAAAAAGTTGACAAAAGGAGCATGCGTCCACAATGCAACTTAAGGGAGCAAATATTTTGCCATCTTAGCTTGATGTTTCTTTGGTTCAAGTATAGTTTTTGTCCTCAATTACTGCTGTTTCTTCTCCATGAGAGGGATACAAGCCTGATGCTTCTCAGCATAGTTTTATTGAAAATACAACAGCGAATTGAGTTAACATTGTGGTCTAAGGATTATAAACGTTCTTCATATTAGTCTTTACTAAGAAATAGTATTGGTATGAACTCAAATTTTCATAAACAGAGCATTCACTATTAATTGATGGAATATATCATTTACCCTACTTTAATTCATGTGTTCTCTTTTTCGTTTTCCAGCACTAACGACACCGTTCTGGAAGAGATGAAGCGAGACTACGCGCTTCAACAAGATGGGAAGTCATGAGCAAGAGCGTAACACACCATTTAATGAGAAAAAACTAGAGATTGTCCTGCTATGTGGTCATTTTCAGGTCCACTTTTAGATTATGCTGTGTTTATTTGTCACTTGAGGTTGAGGCTATTGACAATGCAATATCAAGAACTGAATGAAAGTTGAGGCTTTTTGCATTTTGTGATGGACAGCCAAAGGAATTGTGGTTTTTTCCATAAGAATTATAGATGTATTAATTATCTCTTCATGTATAAATTTAAGAGCTGTTCTTCATCAAACCTTTTGCCAGGCAAATTTCTTCCGGGAATGGGTTGTCTTCGGAATATAATTCTTGATAAATACTAAAGTGCCGTTCCATCTGCCGTTTATGATTTTTTTTTTTTCGGTCTAACATGTAAGGTAAAAATTAAGATCAATGATTATGTTTTAACCAGTTGAACTAAGCCAATTAAGATCCTCATTTTTTTTCCTCATTGTTAGACTGTATATAGAAAGGCTAATTTGATTTAAACTCTTTAAAATCTATTATTGTCACCAAATTTTAATATCTATTTGGGTTTTGATCTCTAAATTTTAATTATTTAATTAGTCTAATCGCTCAACATTTAAATATTTAGTCTTCAAACTTGACATAAAAGAAAATCTATATCAGTCATCATTATAAATTTCGAAATTTTCAAATACCTAGTTTAACTTAAACAACTAAACTATATTAGCATCGAGGGACTAAAGTAAATTTTAAATTTATGAAAAATTTAGACAAGATAAAACCATTAAAAAGAGTGGATCTTGGTGATTGCCTTCAGAAAACTCCATTCCATCGATTGTAAAAACAAAGGATCAAATTATCATTATATAAAAACAAATATGCGCATTAGTAAATATTAATGTGGATAGGTGAGAATAACAATAAAGTCTTTAATTATAAATAAATAAAGCTGTGCACTCACAATCATGAGAATAATGATTCAAAAAATTGCACAAAATTCCCCATTGTACTTCACTCAAACCACCTTGTGAACCAAAATAATGGTGTCAGACCACTGCCTATTGCCTAGTAATTAATAAATACCTCCAAAAACTAGAGAAAATGGGTTTCTTTTTTTCCATTCTTGAAAATAAAATAAAGTTCTACAGTGGTGGGGGGCAAAATGCTTCCCAACAACACAAACAGCGTAACTTGTACAAGAAAGTAGCTCAAAACTCACCCTAGCAAATCATCAAAACCAAAACCGGCTAAAAGTTACATGTCAACCCAGCCTAAGTAGGTTTTCGCATATTGCGCCCAGCACGAATTACCTCGTCTACCAATAGCAACTGTGATGCAATTACAGGCCTGCAAAAGTTAAGAGTAACCAAATCACTTCCCCAGCCATATGGTCATTTATTGATTAAGAAAAAACTGACTATTATTTCTTGATTAGCAAAGACTAGAAAGTTAGAAATGGACAACTTCTATCGAAAATTGTCCGTGATCAAGAGCTTGGGAAAATTTAAATGCGGGTGTAAAAAAGGTGTGATAATTGAGCCATATACCCAGAATTGATAATTTGGCGTTTCACCGAGTAGTTGTCAAAGATACCCTCCATTTGGGGGTCAATTGGTTCTCCTGTATTCTGGTTTAGCCCGACAACATTGCCCCGGTCGTGCTCCCCCTGAATTAAAATGGAATGAAAGAGTTCAGCAATACTCATAATCGCTTCTTACGAAGAAGGCAATGGTAGAACTATATGAGAAAACAGTGGAAGTGTAAGGGGCTATGCTGAACCTTAAGAGCAATGAGCACATCTTGAGTGTCAAGCCCAGAGTTCTCAGCAAGAGTCTTGGGAACCACTAGAAGGGCATCAGCAAAAGCTTCAATGCCAAGTTGAGCACGCTGTAAAAAACGTTGTGAAGGTCAATAAAATTAAGTACAAAAAAATGATGCAGAGACAAACTGGAGATACTTCGAGGGAAACTTACTCCTTGAACTGTTTTCTTCACTTCATTAATCAGATATTGTCTGGCAGCAACTTCAAAGCATCCGGCACCCTGAAAATTACACCAGTCATATAACAAATTTTTTTCCCTTGTGGAAATAAATTATTCTAATCACTTAATTTTGGAGTAAGAATGTAAAATGCTCAAGAGTAGTTCTTTCTGTATCCAGACAGGAAGTTACAGAGCAGTAGACAAATCGAACATTGCAGATGTCATTTTATTTTCTCCCTTAAGTTACATAGAGGATGCATGCTGATTTTGTCAATATTATGCTAAACTATGCATCATACTCCATCTTGAGTTACAGCAGAGACTGTAATAATTCTACTTTGACATAAAATATATGAAACTTGCCATGACAACAGATTCATCTTCAACGGTGTTTTTAACTGATCTAAGACCGTCACGGACAGCATCCTTAATTTGAGCAATCGTGTGGTCATTAGGTCCTGCACCACAATGTATACCAATGAGAAAAAAGACGGTGACAGATTAACAGGATTGTACATGAATGAGGAATGAAGATTCGATGAAGTACCCTTGATCAAGATTGTACATGAATGAGGATTCTTTACATTTTCCACAAATGTATATTTTTCTTCCCCAAGAACATGTTCATAGACCAGTCCAGCCCATCCAAGGCAATCAGGAGTAAGGTTTTCGACAGAATTTATAGCCTCTCCTCCACAGGCCAAAACCAACCTTTCCATGTTTCTCCTCTTGGCTCTACGAAGAGCAATTATCTACAGAATTTTCATAGCAAGTATAAAACAAATTAATATAAATTGACAAATAACTGCCGACCGAGCTAAGCTCCATTTACTCTATCACTCAAAGCATACACAATGTAATGGTTTTTTTTTTTAATCGAATTGTAATGGTTATTAACCATACGACATCTGTAATACATAGAATAGAATAACATATAAATATATAATTTACCTAGAAATATGTTATTTCCTAGCACCTTAGGACAGATACAGCAAAGATACATTTATAAAAATATATGACTCTTCAATAGTGGGTGGGGCTCCCCTCTTACCCCAGGCTTTAGGTTGACAGTGCTCTTTTGTTTATAATACATATGTCTCAGGTTACTTGTAAAAAGAGAGGAAATATATATATATATATATATATATATATATATATATATATATATATATATGATTCTTAGACATTCAAATATTTATGTACGTCTCAATCAAATCTTTTTTTTTTATAAGAAACAAAGATGTATTAATCACAAAAGGGGAACAGCTTTATTAAATACATCTCAATCAAATGTCTAAAGGAAACAAAATTTAAATACATCTCATTCATTTTCAAAAAAAATAAAAAAGAGTTCAAGAGTAATGTTTAAATATGATATGAAAAAAAAGGATAACACATATCATTCATTTACATGTAATTCTACTGCCTTACAACAACAGTTTTGAATAAAATCCAAAATCATATGAACATTTTTCTAAATATTTTGATGTCACATGAGAAACAAGTTTTGAGATCAAATTTGTTAGAATCCATCATATTTGTCTGTTGTGTTAGCGCATGGCAAATTCTGAGTCACGTCTTCCTTTGCCAGTTTGCTACAGTTTGCTGGAATTCATTCTTCCTTGTGTCATGGGCATGGGGTTTGGAGGCTCCCACCAATGTTCTCCAACTTCTCAACAGGTTTAGTTTGCAGCCTAAACTTAATTTGTTATGGGTCAATGGTCCCAAAGCTATTATTTCAAAAATATGGTTTGAAAGGAACCAAAGGATATTTGAAGGTTCTCGAAGATCGTCCCTTGATTGTTTCAACCCTGCTAAATTCAAAGCCTCTCAATGGTATGCTCTTTCCAATCGTTTCTCTAGCATGATACTCCTTCTTACTTTTGATTCTCTTATTTTGGGCTTTTGCTTTCACTCCTCTAAGAGTTTGTATCCTTGCACAATTTTTTGTTTCTTTCATATCTCAATGAAAAGTTTGTATTTTGTTTAAAAAAAATAAATGTAGTATTCTCAAAGTCATCTTTCAATACTCGATACTCATTGGACTTTTGTTATCATCTTTGAAAGAAGGAAAGCATTATGGAATTGTGTTTCCTCAGATATACATTGGTAGATTTGGTCAGAACAATGCACAAAGACCTTTTTACTACACGTTTAAGCTCATTAGTTATGGTTATGGGATTGGCTTTAAAGTTTTGCCAGTCTTTCAAGGTTGCTAAAAGCTATTTTATATCGTCTTGCTGTGAATGCCACGATTAAGGGAAGAAAGAAAAAAGATGAGTAAGACAACTTCAAGGAATATGGCCTTACCCCTTCCCTAGCGAGCAGATCCAGAGATGGGGGATCAATTCCTTTTTGATTTATGATAACAAAGCTGCTATCATTACCCGAACAAACCTGCATGTGACAAGAACAAACAACCACAATTAATAAAAGCAGATGGTTTTAATAACTAACATTACATAATATTAACATTCCCACCTTGTTTTTCAATTCAATGATTTTCTTAACTTTTTCATCGACCTGGCGCCTTTCAGCAGCAACCATTGCTTCTCTCTGTTCCGCATTAGAGTAGAAAAATCCAGCATTTATTTCACTGAGAGAGAAGCCGTCAATTTTTATATGTTCGCAATACATTATAATGATAAACTACATATAAAATGAAGGAGTAAGGCTACAAATAAATATCATTTGCATTCCATATTCATGATAAACTAGTTTCATTGAGCCCATCAAATGCCATATTACATCAATCCTGGGCCTGGGGTAGCAACATATACCCACGCATTGATTCTACATTTAGGAAAGCAGCAACAAAAACACAAACCTAGATTCAACATTACAAGTAACATACTTATCCATCCATGGAGATCAAAAGAATCAAAGAAAAACCTCATCAATACCTTTTGTCATATTCCAGAGACACATTGCAGGTTAAAATATAACAATTTTCTGCTCTCCGTTTCATATCAGGATGTCTAGAACCATGATCAAGGACAAGACCTTCAACCTAGTGAATAATGATTAAAAGAATTCAGAAACTCAATGTATTATTAGAAAAAACAAAAAGAAAGTAATTAAGACCTGAATCCATTCAAACTTGTATTTTGTTGATAGAAGTGATAAAGAAAAAATATCATCATAGAATATAAGACATACCAACCGAGTGTCAACATCAAACTTATGACGCATGTGCATGATTTCTACCATAAACAAATCAATGGCTTCTTCTGGTTTACGAATACAGAGCACCTGTAACAACTCAAACACACCCCATTAACCAAAAAAGGCACAGGGAATCTTTTGCCATAGTATGTTTTACATGCCACAATCATATGATCATAATTCATATAAGTTTAGAACTTTCAATCTGATTTTGTGGTCACTAGTAGATGAGCACTCACCGCATCAACAACTATATTAGTCAACTGATCTGCCAATGATTCGTACAACTGTACAAGAGATTGATAAATTAGAAAGATATGAGACATTTAGCATGGATCACTCAGAAGAAGAAAAGAAAGTCTTGGTCAAACAACCTTTGTTCGTAGTGTTGTTCTTGCTACCATTCTCAGAATCTCTTTGTCTGGCTCGTCACCAACCACTATAGGAGTCTTAAATTTTTCAAGAAATTGAAGAGTTGCTCTTTTGGCAATCTCAAAACCATCAACCAAGACACGTGGATGCATACCTGGATCAATGATATACCCCATTAGAACAAAAAAATGCCAACAATACACACTCAAGGGGAAAAATCCACCAATATTGTGCCAGAATTTCCTAATGCTAAAGAAGCCTCATTCCTGAGATAAAAATGGTTTCTGCCCTAAATAACACCAAAGAAACATATCAAATGACTTTCCGACTTTTCACCAATAACTTTAAGATGATAAATCACTTTTAAATATATCTCAGACTTTCAGCTAAGCTATATATAATTTATTATACTTCTCTAACGGCAAAGTGTTTCATACTAACTTTTTCACCTCTTCCATCTGTAGTTGACAACTTCTTTAATTGACCATGGATGCAACTTTTTCAGTTGTACCATGACACAATCCCACATAGAATATTAACATTCTACACGCCATAATTGCAAAGAATAGTACCACTGAGGTGCAACTACCAACCTTCATCGATATAACGTTCCGATTGTTTCATAAGCTCGCCTATAAAAATCACAGTAGAAGTAGTACCATCCCCAGTGGTGTCATCCTGGGCAACAGCTGTTCGTGCTATCATGATTGCTGTGGGGTTTTGAATTTGCTGCAACCACATATAGCAGCCATGAGTATCACATTTATCTAGGCAGTTACCAGTCAATAATTGAAAGCATCTTAAATATTTAAAAGCTCACGAATTTTTTATGAAAAAAATCTCAAAAGGTATAATATTGTTATCTGAATTTGATTTTGGACAACTTTTGATTGGGATTTTTTGTATCCCGTTTTGATGACCAAAAGGGCTTATGAAATATGGAAAAAAACAGATTCAAGTTCGCCTTAAAACTTCTTTTTTTTTTTTATTGTTTTGCGATTTTTTTTAATAGAAAACCCAAATTATTAATTTTTATTTTTTATGAATTAAGCAAGAGGGCTCAGTTAACCTCTCTCTACTAAATTTTGGATGTTGACGCTTTATAATAATGGTTGAATGAGCTGTTGGCTATAATTCAGTTGAAGTTTTCCAGTTGTGCGGATAACATCATGTTACCTCGCCTCTAATGGAAAATGAGATACAGAGAGATCTCTTACCAATATCGTTGCTCTCCTTAGTCTTTTTGGAGTGATATCAGGTCTAGGGATTACTACAGAATAATAGGTACCAAATCACAAAGTCTTCCCATTTTTAAGCTTCCCTCAACAGTTGATTCTCAAATAGTCAGATTGAGAAGCTTGCCTGCAAGTCTCTTCTGTAGAAAGTTTAGGGGAGGGAAAATTATTTGGTTATTTGGAACATTGTCTCGAGTTCAAAACGTTGGAGGAATTTGGAATGGGTAATATTCTCCTTTGCACTTTTAGGTGAGTCGTTGTAGATTTTCCAACGATCATTATTCTTACTGGGCTTACATTATTAAGAGAAAGCAAGGAGCCTATTATAAAGTTAGCGTCTATTTGAACAGTACTGCCAATTAAGGAGTTACTCCACTGTTGTGTAGAACATCGATAATAATAACGTATCCATTAAAGACGTACGCAAGAGATCTGAGATATGTATAGGGTTTAGGGCAGAGAGCTGACCATTTCTTTAAGCAGAGTGTTGCCATCTTTGGTGAGCTTGATATCTCCAGCACCACCCACAAGCCTAAAAAAATGAATACGATGAAAAAAGGAGTAAGAGAAACAGTGAAGCAAATTCTAGAGATGGAAATGACGAAGATCATAAATAACGTCGTACATTTTGATGGTTCCTTTGGGACCGAGATTGCTCTTGAGGACATCTTGCAAACCCTTCGCGGCATTGATATTCATGTGCAGAGCCGCGGATTTGTTGAGCACTTCTGCATTTGGGTTGAGCACTCTCAGCGACATCTTTGTATTCAGTGTGTGGAGCTCGGCGAAGAGGCTGAACGAATAACGTAGAAGACGGCTTCAGCAAAACTGGAGAAAGAGGGTTTAGGCTTCAGCGCAACTGGAGGGACTCTCGCTAGAAAAAATACTCGGGTATATATATCTGAAAAAAAAAAATGAAAAAAAAAAAAGATTTTATTGATTTTTTTTTCTATGTGTATAGTAATATATCTTTTTACTATTATTATTATATTTTTTAATTTTAATTTTGTTACTTTTATTTTACCCTAAAAGCCTGTTTTTTATAAATTAAAAACTTAAAAACAAACCATCGTTAGATTCAATATTTCCAACTTTGGTTCATTCACGGTCATTTACTTCAAAAAGTGATCATCTTGTTCCTGTTTTCAACGTTTTAACATGCATTTTATGACAAAAGTTATTTAATATAAAATCGTGATTACATTTCAATAAATATATTAAGTGTAGTGTCGTGTTTAAATTATAATGTACAAATTATATTAAAAATAAATTAGGGGACCAAAATGGTAATTGGGATGGATCATGATTTAAAGTATGCCGGCAAAACTGAATAATTTAAAATTTCATAGACTAAAATGAACGAAAGCTGATATTACATAGGTGTCTTAATTTATCGAGCTAAGTTCGTGTTGGCACGATAGTTCCACTTATGTGAACAATTGTAATTGTTTAGTTTTTTAGTACAATAAGTGAGATGGGGAGAACTCGAACTCATGACTTATTGATCATCTATATATATATATATGTAAGTTACTGCTAAACTAAATTAGTATTGATAATTGTAGTTGTTGAGTTGTATACTTTGGGAACCATTGTTTTAATTACAATGACTATTATCACATGTCGTAATATGAAATATCTACTTTAAGAGACAATTACCTCAATCAAACTCAAGTATATGCCTACAGTGGCATGTTAATCTACCATTTGAAAACTCACATTACATAAATTCAATAGTAGACGGTAAAAAAAAAAAATAAAAAAGGAAAATGATAATTTATGATCGAACATAATTATTTTCTAAAATCATGTAGATTAAAATATATATTTTTAAAAGTATGGAACAAAATATAATAAATTAAAATAGATGTTTTGAAAGTTTGCGGTAGAAGAATAAATAATTTATATCAACTAACACAATATTTAAAGAAAATCACAAATATTTATTAATGTATTTAAATAAATTTTATATTCTATAATGGCAAATGAAATTTCGATATACTTTTTTTGTTGTCCATTTGTTTTTATTTTTGGAAGTTAACGTTTCATTGAAATATTTAAAAAGCAACAAAAAAAAAAACAGAAGAAAAAAGAGGGAAAAATGCGTTTGATTGAAGCGTTAACAACAAACATTTGTACATTTTTTCATATCAACGTGGATATCAAAAACGAAGTTTTTTCCAAAATATATATATATACACAAAAAAAAAATATATATATATATATATTTGTCAAACGTGACTCCATGAATATTATAAAAAGATTCGGATACTTTATAGAAATCTATTGGTATGTTATCTCTCATGATACACTAAATCCTTTCGATATCAACGAGTTTCACTTGTAATAGAATAATATAATTGTTCAAGGTCATATATCGTCTACCACTGCGAGCCGATCTTTCGAAGAACGTTAACAGGTACAAGGGCAACAATACACGTTCTCTAATAGCACACAATGTTTCTCGGAGTGTCGGAGAGCTGTTAGAACGTTGTCGGAGTTCATCTTTATAAATAGAATGGATGTCTGCAACTTAAACAATGTATGCAAATCTACTCTCACTTTGAATATTGTATGAGATTGAGACTGATATGTTTGTCTTATTTTATAGGTACTTCGGACATCAACTCCCTTCTTCCAATCTTCGTGAATTTCGAGCTTTGATATCAATCAATTATTTTTCAAAATTGTCAACAATCATTTTGCAACTTTAGCTAAAATTCAAGCGATTTATTAAAATTGCTCGTTATCCAGAGGTGGGATTTTCAATTATTCCACCGCAAAATAACAATAAAGATTAAAATCTTACGCGTAAAAGAAAGAAAGAGAGGAAAAAAGAAAAGAAAAAGAAAAAAGATCTGGAGCTAGAATGAATAGCCGGTAGTGTTAAAAAAAAAGGATTGAAAAAAAGGAAAAAAAAGGAGAAAAATTAGAAAGAAACTGATTTGATCTACCCTGGAATTCGATTCACCCGCTGTAATCGAAGTAGAAAAGCTCCTGCATCACTGGAACTGCTCACTTCTTCCTGATTCTCTGCCCACACTTCAACAATGGTGAAGACATACGTGAGAGAGAACGTGCCTCTCTCTCGTTTCGGTGTCTTGGTTGCACAACTTGAATCCATAGTCGTCTCTGCTGCTCAACAGCCTCCGGAGCCACTTCTCTGCTTCGATCTTCTATCCGATCTCATCTCTGCCATCGACGAAGAGCCCAAGGTTCCATTTATTTCTTTAGCTTCTTTACATGCTACCCAATAATTCTTCATCTCGTCATTCGAATACGGTTCCTTGGTACTGGATTGCCAACTTTTACGCAAGTAAGATATTGAATTATGGGATATTATGGAAGTCGTATGCGCATATTTTCTAATTAAAATGATTTCTGGAGCTGGGTTGTTTTGTTCTCTGGCTGGAGTTATTATTCAATGTTTGAAAAGAACATTTCACATTTCAGGAATCTATACTGCTGTGGCAAAGAAAATGCGAGGAGGCACTGTATTCTTTGCTCAGTCTTGGTGCCAGGCGACCGGTGCGTCATCTTGCATCAGTAGTAATGGCAAGAATTATATCCAAGGGAGATACGATTTCAGTATATTCACGAGTTAGCAGTCTTCAAGGGTTTTTGTCTGATGGGAAAAGGAACGAGCCTCATAAGATTGCTGGTTAGTCACAATTATAGTTGCTGGATTTATTGGTGCCACATGGTAGAGGGCTAGAATTATTTCATCCTCTTCTCCCAAGAAAAAATAAAAAGAATCCTATCACCCTCATCAAACAAAGAATGTAATAATGACGAGAGTTCCAGCCATGTATAAAATTTTATGTATCTAATGACCTCACGCTAGAAATTGACGAGGTGCAATGCGTCTTGTAATTCATATAATAGTGACCTCTCCCAATGTCCTGCACTTTTAAGTCATGATACATCTCATAATAATCCTTCTAAGGATCATACATCGAGAACCGCATTTGCATCAGAGTCACAACCACATAATGGTTATGATCATCAACAAAATCTATTTAGAAGCAGTGGTGGTTGTTCACATCCTCTTGGTGATTCTTTCACAATTATAATCATGGTGCTAGGCATGATCGTGGAAGTAAAGTCTAGAGCTCTCATCGAAATTTCAATGTACAACATTATAGAGCTGTTAACTTTTTATATCTTATAGACAAAATTTTGGGGTTACTATTGTTTGAATATTATCCATAGTTGGGATTGTTTTTTAATTTGAATAGAGAAGAGTGAGTGTCTTGTAATCTGGTTTCTGTTGAGAGTATTTTTATGTTTTATTTTGTTCAATTGATGTTTTGTAATATTTTAGTTTCTTAAGGGGAAGTTCGTTTCAGTTTTTTTTTTCTTTAATATTTAGAAAGGAATGATGATTCACCTAAACATCTTCAGTTTATTTGGTGCCTGTTATTCTTTGATGAGAAGATCAAATTAATGTAATTAGATCTTCTTTGAAATTTTATCCGATAATTTTGTAATATTATTTTATCTTGATATTTATGTGTTCTCATTCTCGTTTCGTAAGCTTATATTTTAGAGTAGACATAGTAGCAAATTCCAAATGGACATGCCTTTTTTGAAAGAAAATTTCCTTAGTTCTTGTACCATGGGAATACCCCGTGGTTGTTAGGCCGTACCAGATTTATGATTCACATCTTTATAATTTTTTCTCTAACTAACATGTCATCTTTATTACATCTGACCTTTATAGGCATTGCCCAATGCTTGGGAGAATTATATCAGCACTTCGGGAGAAGAATCACTTCTGGTTTGCTTGAAACGACTATTATTGCTGCAAAGCTCATCAGATTTAACGAGGTTCCCACGAATTCCTATTGCCAAGTGTCTATAACATGATATTTTACTTGTAAATTCTCACAAAATTGTGCTTATAAGTACGGTGAACCTGTTTTGTATTCATTTAGCATGTTTATGTTTTATATTCTTTTGGATTGGAGTCCTTTCCTTTAGGGGGCTTCCTCTTTCAGGGCTGGTTTTTTTTAGGCCCTTTTTGTTCTTCTTGTACCTATTTTCATTGCTCTCAATGAAAGTGTTGTTTCATATAATTTTTATTTTTTGCATGTTTATGTTGGAGCTTAAGTATGTCTTTTTCCTTGGGGGCATATCCCTATGTTTTTTTTAACAAGATACGAACTTCTCATTGAAATAATGAAAGGCACAATAATATCCAAAGAAACAAGCTCTCGAAAGAGTGAAACATGAAAGAAAATAAACAAATAAAAAACTTAACAATTAACAATAAATACATCCCAGTTGGAGCAAATCATGCGAGGGGAATAATTCCTAAATAATTTCAATAAAGAACACCATTGAGAGGCCTCGAACTTAGCTATATTGAAGCGCACTGATGATGATTGTCTCTTTTCTTCAAACACTCTAGAAAAGAACACACTGTCTTATGTTTCACTTTTGATGTATGAATCATTGTTTAACATAAGAAAATTTTAAGTACAAGTACGAGAAAAAACATAAAATAGTTCGAGTCCTTTAGAGTTGAAGCTATCAGGTGGTGTGTTTTTACACATGCTTAAACACAATAGTCTTGCAAATAGAAGAAGGTTGGAGATACAATCTGATCGGGATAGAGAATTAGCTGAATTCAAGCCAAATTTTCTTTGGAACTCAAAGACCTATTTCTAGACGATAAATATGGAGCTGCTGGCATGCTCGAAGTTAAAGACTCTTGAAATTTTTTTCTTTTTGTGTCCTTGCATCTTGGTGGATCGTTTTTTATAGTAGTTAGCATGATCTTATTGTTGGTTTTATTATTGTTCTTATTTTGATTGTAATGCTCATTGTTGAGCCTCTTTACTTTGGTCTACTCTCTTTTTCTCTCACTCCTTTGGAAGTTTATATTCTTGAAGTTTTTCTCCTTTTCATATTACAATGAAAAATTGTTTCTCGTTAAAAAAAGAAAAATAGTCTTGCAAATATTGAGGAACTTTTCTTGTCCATACATTGATCTGGCACACCATAATGATAACAATATTTTATTTCTTCTTTCATTATGCATTTAAGGAGTAATATGGGATTTTGAGTTATAACACAGACAATCGTTCTCTTTGTCTCTGTTGTTTTCAACTGCCATATTGAAGATTGGTTTAAGTTGAATTGAAAGGCCCAGAGCAGCCTTATTTTAGTAGCTTTCGGAATAAAATTTGTTCACTTTCATTGATTATTGATATTTAGTCCTAGGATCACCATCTTTTTTGTTTACTTCGAACTATGCAAGTTGTGAGGTTATCCTTTAGTTCATTTCAAATGACAACTTAAAAATTGTTTCATTTCTGTTTAATTATTTCTCTCTTTCTTTTTAATATATTTTGTTATTTATTATTTTAGCTTTGTTTGTGTCAAATTTTAGGATTTCGTGAGACAAGAAGCTCTGCGTTTGCTTCAGAATGCTTTAGAAGGTTCTGGGGGTACTGCAGCTGCTTCAGCATACACTGAAGCATTTCGTCTGATTACTCGTGTGGGAATTGGTGATAAATCATTCATTGTTAGAATAGCTGCTGCAAGGTGCCTAAAAGCATTTGCTAACATTGGAGGACCAGGGTTAGGGGTTGGAGAACTTGATAATTCAGCCTCTTATTGTGTTAAGGTAGTTATTCTGTTATTGTTGTGATATATTTGTTTGTTGTATTTATTGATTATCACGTCAGAAAATGGTTTGGCTGAATCAAGTAGGCCATGGAGGATCCAGTTTCATCAGTTCGGGATGCATTTGCTGAAGCTTTGGGTTTGTTACTGGCTCTTGGAATGAATCCTGAAGCTCAGGTATATTAGTTATTTGTTATGTAATAATCTTTGCTTTGCTATTTCTGACTGATCTATCTCGTTTCTGTAGCTGTTATTGGCTTTTAATATTTTTAAGTTCATGTCCTACTAGGTTCAACCAAGGGGAAAAGGTCCCTTTCCTCCAGCAAAGAAACTTGAAGGTGGTTTACATCGGCATCTATCTTTGCCATTCAGTAAAGGTAGAGTCCTGGAGGGCTTTATTTTGTGTGGCTTGCTTGATACTTTTATATGCAATTTCATCAAATGGATGGAGTTTAAAGAAGTTGGTTAGACCACAAGAGTCATAAAATGAATCTCCTATTGGTCTTTGTAGAAGTTCAATGGGAATCGAAAAAACATTTTAGACTTAAGAGATGAAGAGGGACGAGCGGAAAAAATGGCATCCAGTAGCTGGTCCAAACCCTCCTCCTCCTTATGGCACATAGGCTATTCGCTCAAAGCTTTTCTTAGTGTCTTTGGAGCTGTGATCACAAGTGCCTTGCAACACAGGTTTCTTTGAAATATAGGGATTAACAACATACAGAAAATCTCCAAAAATCTAAGCCATAAAGCCACCCCAGAACGATAAGAGACGATTAACATTTTCCCGATCCTTTTGGTAGTACTGGTTTACAACTGTATTGATCAATTGGAGAACCTTTCTAATTCCTTTGCTCCCCTTTTTACATTTCATATACCAACGAAATATCTACAACTAATTTCTTCTAGAAAAATATGCTTATCTGCTCTGCTCTTTATTCCTGTCTTTTGGATGAACTTTGTCTCCTAATCAGAAATGTGGTCATGCACCTGATCCACGGCCCATGCAATTAGGGAACAATTATTTTCTCTATTTTTGTAACAGAGTTTAGCCCAAAATAATTATTAATATGGTGAAGCCCCAGAGCAGGAAGAACTCAAAGAGTCAAACTGCTCCCCGATTGGGATGTCCTGACAGTTGTTTATTTATTTATTTTGGTTAGAATTTTAAGAGTAGAAGACTTCTCAACGTGTAGCATGCATACATTAGTTTAGACTGCAGTAGATAGTTTGGCCTGTTTTTGCGACCCTGTAGCTAGGTTTTAGGCTATTGGCTTGCTTTTAATCATAGGAAGTGAAATCTTATTTGCAAATAGGGTTTATTGGTTTTCTTTTTCTTGGTAGGACTGTTTGTCCACTGGCAGAACTCATCTACTATTTGACAATTAAGAGAAACAAGCCAAGGGAGAATTTGAGAACTCTGGTCTCTCTTTTTCCTATCTAGCCTACCAAGCCAAAAGATGCCTCTCAGGGCGATACCTACTAATATACTCCCTATTGGCTGGTTTACCAAATAACAAACTACCTATATGGGCCGCCAAGCCACAGCCCACCCACACTCTTACTCATTCATCCCTCCCCACTTTACCCTTCTCCTCCTATATACATTAATAATCCGGGCCTATTATCCACCTCTTCTTTCAATTTCTTCTCTTTACAGTTGGAACTCATTTCTTATTAATTTTTCCTTAGGCAGCAAATAAAGATATTGAATAGATGTTGATTCTCAATTTTTGAAAAAAGGCTATCTTATAATTCATTGGCTGTTTTTCATAAAAAATCACATTGCAGCAAATGGACCACGGTTGAAGGAAATTCGTGTTGGTCTTACTTTATCTTGGGTGTTCTTTTTGCAGGTTAGTTCTCACAATTAACTGTGCAGTAGATTTTCCTGCCTTTTTCCCTTCTCTTTCGTTTGAGTTATTATAGAATTTGAATATTTTTGGGGTTTGGTTTGAATGAAATAGAGGATTTATGAAGATATGCATTTAGCGGGAATGATTTTATTTAGTCAAGGTTAAGTTTTTTTTTGTTGGTGTTTTCTTTCTCCATTAGTTACAAATTGCTCTTGTAATGAGATTTATACCAATTAGGGGCTTTTATTCTACTTTTTAGATTGTTTGTTTGACTATTTTCACTCTCATAATGCCATATCCTTGAACAATTGTGTCTTTTAGATTGGGGGAATTTGTTAATTATACTTATATATATACACACGCGCACATACATATGGGCAAATTGCACAAACTATCCCTAAAATGTGATGATGGTTACAAATGCACCCCCAAAATTTCAATTATAGAAATTAAACCCTTAAAATTTTACCCGTGGAAAAATTGCACTCATAAAGTAAAAAACCAAAGCCTCCAACTTTCATAAGTAAAATTGCACACCTAAACTTTTGATTGTAAAAGTTAAACTCTCAAAACTTTGTAAGTGAAAGGATTCCAAGCTTGATATTTGGTGTTTAAGTTCAATGTCGACCGGAGTGAAGGTGGGGAGCTGCAGTGGCAGAGGCAGTGGGTGGGCAATGAGTTTGGCCTTTTCGCCTTTGATTCATTTGACGGCTTCGTTGTAAGCATTGACTGCTTCTTCGGGGGTGTTGAAGGTTCTGAGCTAGATGGACTCCCTTTGTGTGGGTCTCAAATCTCTGCCACCCATTTCCCCCATGGCCGCTGCAGGTTACCTTTGTACTTGCTTTTGCGAACTTTCTAGGTTTTCTTCATCTCCCCCAGTCCCTTCCGCTGCCACTGCAACTTCTCTCCTGCTTTAGATTGTTCTCTGGAATGTTAAAATAATATAAACAGTCCCTTCCGCTGCCACTGCAACTTCCCTCCTGCTTTAGATTGTTCTCTGGAATGTAAAAATAATATAAACAAAGGATTAAATGTACTAAATAATGATTTAACATGGTATCATACTGGAGAATTTGGTGTTTGAATTTGCATAAAAAATTACAGATTGCAAAGAAATAGAAAGGAGAAAGGTTAAAAGAAAAATATAATAAAAAAACCTTGATGCCTTTTAGAGGAGGAAAAGAAGCTTCAACAAATCCAACAATGGGAGGGGAGAGAAAAACTAGAGAGGAGGAAAAGAAGCTTCAAAAAATCCAACAATGGGGCTTAGGACAATCATTTTGATGCACCCCTTCAAAAAAGAAAAGGCTATCCTTTGGATGAACTTCAATAGGGTTTTCATTTGGTTGGTTTGGAAAGAACGGAACTCTAGAATTTTCAAAGAAGTTGAGCACTCGCCACAACAAGTGATCGACTCTATTATCTTTTTGGCTTTATCATGGTGCAAAATGCAAATATGTACATCTTTTGAACAATTATAGTTTAAATTATCTTATATCCAATGGGAGAAGTTTTTTGTAACTTCATTTTTTTTTAAACTAAGATACAACTTCTCATTGAAATAATGAAAAGATTATACAAGTGTTCAAGGATACAAACTCCTGAAAGAGTGAAAAAGAATGTGAAAAATGAAAAATGTAAATAATAAAATTACACAGAATTAATAAAAGCTCCCCAATTAGCATAAATCATTGAAGGAGAGTGATGTGTAAAAGAATCGACAAGAGAACACCAAATGCGTAACTTCATTTGGATAGACTTTTTTTGTATATTTCATGCCATCAATGAAATTTGTTTTCTATCCCAAAAAAAAAAAATCCAACAATGGGGGGAGGGGGAGAAAAACTAGAAAGATAAGGAGAGAGAAAGTAGAAAGAGAGGAGGAAACTTGAGAGAAAGAGAGAAAATAGATTTAACTTTTTCAAAAACCGAAGTTGGAGGGTTTAATTTTTACTATTGGAAGTTTAGGTGTGCACTTATTTCACTTGTGAAAGTTTGAGGGTTTTATTTTTACCATTGAAAGTTCATGGGAGCAATTTTTCCATTCGTAAAAGTTTAAGAGTTTAATTTTTACAATTGAAAGTTCGAGGGTACAATTGTAACAATCATCATACTTAAGGGGTAGTCTGTGCAATTTGCCCGATATATATATATGTTTAGTGGATTTATTTCTATTTTAAAATGTCTTGTAGGCCACCGTTAGGTCTTATTCTTTTGAATTGGAGCCCGTTCTTATAAGAGTTTCCTTTGCCGGGCTGTTTTTTGTATGCCCTTTTTGTGTATCTTCTTTTTTCATTTCTCTCTATGAAAGTGCAGTTTCTCCTTAAAAAAAAAAATGTCTTGTAGGCCATTCGTCTCAGATATCTGCATCCGGATACTGGACTTCAGGACTTTGCTCCGCAGGTTATGGACATTCTTCATGCTGATACTTCTGTGGATGCCCATTCACTGGTAAATGCTGAATTCTTTTTTATAAACTATCTGTAATTATTACTTTAGGTTTTTAAGCCTTGGCACTTGGCTGCATCGCATGCCCAGGTGGAAGTCTTCTCTTGTCCAATCTTCCTTCTTTGATTAGGGACATCAATACTTTATTAGAGAAGTCAATATACTGCTCTAACAAGGATAGCAAAAATTTGAGGTCTTGCAGTTGCTACCATAGGAAAAATAAAATGCACCAGGAGTTTAGCAACACTGGAGAAAATTAGATTTATCTTCTCAATTAATTGTTCAATGGAACAATTTATAAATAAGCATGAAGTCAAATCTTTTCCTATATTGTACCAACCTCAGTTCTTAAGGATTTCAAAATTTCTTTGAGTTTGAAAAAGAGAAGAATGAGAATATTAGAAGCTGGGAATCCTTGCAAGGTAGAACAAAAATGAAAAAGAGTCATCGATAAAAAGAAAGTTTTCTTCTTTATCAATTGTACTGTTAAGAGAACAGCTGATAAATACACATGACTTATTATCATATGTTGTCATCTCCTCTCTTTCCTCTTATAAAACCCCAAAAATCATTTAAAAAAAAGTCTGAACTAGTCTTACCCAAAAAGAAAAAAAGGTAAAAAGTTTGAATTTTGAAATAGAGGACCACGTAGATCAGGCACATAGTACTCCTTTTGCTGCTATAACAGAGAGGCACTAGCCCTCTAATTCAATTAACTGACAACTTTTTTATTTTCCTGTTTGCTGTAGGCTTGTGTGCTATATATTCTTAGGGTTGGCATTACTGATCAAATGACAGAACCCACCCAAAGGAACTTCTTGGTTTTTCTTGGAAAGCAGGTTGAAAAAATTGATTTGAATATAGTAGTGTAGTTTCTATGTCAATAATTTAAAAAAATAGTATTGTAATTTTGATGCTATCAATACAGAGTAGTTTTACGTTCTCGTCTAAATCATTCTGTTGCTGCTTGTACTTCTTATCATATTTCTAAGGGGACAATTTTCTGGAAATTTGACAGCTGCAATCTCAAGATGCTAGCCCTTCGATGAAGATTGCTTGTTTGCGTACTTTGTCATATACCATGAAAACTCTAGGAGAGGTAAGGCACGATTGTGTATTTGAAGTATTACTTTTTCTATGATAGAAAAGGAGCAGTAATTGTTAAAGAAATTGTTTCTTACTGAAAATGGGGTGTAAATTTTATGAAAGAAAATCATGAACTTTTTCTCCTTAATTTTTTTTTTAATTTTTTTTATATATGAAAAAAAAGGAGCAATAGTTATTGTTTAAATACTCTCGTGCTAATTGGTGGAGTTCTTTTTTGTAATTTTTCTGGTTTGGGGCTTGCTTTTATTCCCCTCTTTTGTAATTTCACATCATTTATGAAATTGTTTCTTGTAAGGAAAACATGATCCTAGTCTTATCACAGGTTGACCAGTTTTAACCAATTAATGTAGTTTCTCTTCCATGTAGTTCGATCTCATGACCAATATTTTTTTATTACACTTCTGCTCGCAGCATGCAATTATCTGTGGCTTTATTGTATTATAAATGAGGCTTTTCATTAATTCAATGAGAAGTTTGTTTCTTGTTAAAAAAAAAAAGGCTTTTACTTGTGCCTTACGTTGACTGTAATGCTTGTTGATGAGCCTCTTTTTTGTTTTGTCATACTTTTCTCCTTTTCTCTCACTCTTTCGGGAGTATCCTTGAACTTTTTCTCCTTTTTATATGTCAATGAAAAGTTGTTTATTGTTCAAAAAATAAATAAAGCTTTTATCTGTGCCTGTTGAGAAGTTAGTCAGACAGAGGTTGATTATTAATATGCAGGTCCCCTCAGAGTTTAAGGAAGTACTTGACAGCACAGTTGTTGCTGCGGTTTCTCATTCTTCACAGCTTGTGAGTTGTAGTTATTGTTTGCAATTTCCAGGCYGAACATTTTGTTTCTGTGCTTACCTGTTTTAAATTATTTATTTGCTTAGTGGTGACGAAGGGTTCATTTAACTTTCATGTTCCACCTGTTATTCTGCACGTTCATGATTTTCCTGAAAACTTTCCTGATATTGGCTTATTTTAGATAACTCCTGCTCAGTACTCTATGTTGATTTGCTTCATTTGGTAGACTTTTTTCTTTAGCTATTTTTCAGTATAATCATTATTTAGCTTTCATTCTCAATAAACATTATTATTGACTAGTTAGCTATGCTTTTATATAGAGTTTGCACCTGATACTGCAATGCACTATTCTTTTTCTTTTTTTGGTTGGATAATTAACAATATTGCTCTTTTAAACTGAAATAAGCACGTAGAAAGAGAGGAATTCCACCTCAGAATCAATGTATCACTTATTTCCGAATTCTTGCTAAAGAAATTATGTACAGCTACGTGAAATAAAGAGGAATAACATGAACTAAGCAACAACACAATTAATCCTGAAATTAACCCTTTAATTTCTCCTATCCCAGTACTTCCATACATGTCTCATCTTATTCCAATGGTTTCGAATATGGACAAGAGCTTGTGCCATGTGTATATTTTGCAAGGCCCTAGTCAGGAAATAAGCAATTTACTGTTATATCTAATATGCTTGACCTGGCATAGTTGCAGCTCCTTCTGTCTTCTCAGTTCCTAATAAGTGAGGAGAAATATAAAAATCATTCCGTACTTTTAAAAGAATAGGCCATCATGCAAGGTAACTCTACCTTTCAGATTGCGATCAATAAGTTCACTGGGTTGAGTAACCTACAATAGAAGCAATCTGTGAAGATGTTCTATTTGGTGACATAGATGGTACAAAGTCATTTCTTAGGGTGGAAGGTGATTCATATCAGTAACAATGTGGTGTTGGCTTATAAATGAAAAGTTTTGTTTTTTGTTAAAAAGAAAAACGATATGGTGTTGCCTTGCTCATAATTCAATGGATCATTGTATTGGATGGATTTACTCTTATCTAAAAGTAGGATATTTATAATTGTAAAGGTAAGCAAAGAAAATGAGTAGATGTGGTAGCACAATGTTAATTGCACACTTTGGGTTCTTAATTACACACATTTGGTTCAGGTACGTATTGAGGCTGCTCTATCATTGCGCACATTGACAGAGATTGATCCTAACTGTGTTGGTGGGTTATTTTCGTATGGGGTGACCATGCTAACAGCTCTAAGAGAGAATGTTTCGTTTGACAAGGTTCTACTATTTCTTTTTGCATATTCTCACCTATTTTTTTCTGCATTTTTTGAACAAAAAACAAGAACTTTCATTGATATAATGAAAAGTAAAGAAAGTTACAAATGAAACAAACAAAGCAACAAAGAAACAACTGAAACATCCAAACTAAAGAGACTAAACAGGAAAGCTCAATGAACTAATCAGAGAAAATAAAGCTATCAATGAAAAGTAAAGAAAGTTACAAATGAAACAAACAAAGCAACAAAGAAACAACTGAAACATCCAAACTAAAGAGACTAAACAGGAAAGCTCAATGAACTAATCAGAGAAAATAAAGGCTTCCCAATTTAAACAAATGTGAAGGGAATTAAAACCGAAAAATGAATTAGAAAGAGAACACCACTGCGAGGCTCTTTGAAAAGCTATATCAAACTGATCCAAGGAGCAATTGCTTATTTTGAAAGATTCTATGGTTGCGTCGTAACCATATTTTTCAAATAATAGCTTTGACTCCATTGGACTATAGTAGATGTGCTCTTGGAGATAGAGATGAACCAATCAAGAGATTCAAAATATTACTTCTGCAGTCATTTGAGAAAATCCTAAGACTTCGAAATCTTTTAAAAAACTGAAACCAGCACTCCAAGGAAGGACAGCCGAAAAAGAGGTGATTTTGGTCTTCAGAATCTCGCAAAGCAAAAAAACAATCTGATGGCATAATCTGGAAATGAGGAATCTTATTTTGAAGCACATCCACTGTATTAATGCTGTTGCTTTACTAGTTCTGGTTTTGATCGTTGCTTGGTTTTACATCTGACCACAGAATAACGATCTGCAGTTGGAGCTTGATTCTCTGCATGGTCAGGCTGCTGTATTGGCAGCATTAGTGTCTGTATCTCCCAAATTACATCTTGGTTATCCATCTAGGTAACTTCCTGTTTTTGCTTTCCTTCGAAGATTATTAGAGAAATTCCTCTAGCCATTAAACAAATTGCTGACTTTCTGCTTTTGCTGCCTATTATAGAGTTAAATACTCGTATGTCCTGCCTTATGAGTGATTGAGCATCTCTCTTTATCAATTTCTAGTAATAATGGATTTCAATTTGTACAAATGGGCTTGTTTAGGCACAAGACACTTCTGTGTGGAGTTGTTGTCCTAGCATTTATTGACATTTCTAAGACGTTTCCTCAAATTTGAGTTCTGAAATTTCTGTTAATATTAATAGCATTATCCTTGGTAGTTCTTACATGAATGAGGTAAATATTATCCTTAGTTCTTGTTCTCATGACCAGATTTCCCAGATCAGTGCTTGAAGTATCAAAGAAAATGCTGACAGACCCTTCCCGTAATCCCGTTGCTTCCACTGTTGAGAACGAAGCTGGATGGTTACTTTTATCATCACTATTAGCTTGTTTGCCTAAGGAGGTACACAATGATCACCAGATTGTGTGTTTTCATCTAATATCTGATAAAAACGTTTAAGTTACTTTTCTTGGTGCATAAAGGAACTTGAAGACCAGGTTTTTGATATTCTTTCCTTGTGGGCTGCATTTTTTACTGGAAACATGGAAAATGAAATTAAGCAAACTACGGATTTGACTTCTAGGATATGGTAAGCCAATTTGTAAACTTTAGTTACTCCATGGAAAATGTCCATCATATCTTGTGTTGTAATGACAAAGATGTTACTGCTCAGGTGAGACATCAATTTCGATCATCGCATACTATACTATAACGATTTATAGAGGCTGCAAAGAAATTTAAAGGAATTTTCAGATTAGTAGGGACAAGTTATAATTTTTTCTTAATACATTTTATAGGAGTAATTTTTCTTTTGCTTAAGATGAGAAAAGCTGCAAAGAAATTTGATATTAAAATTTTTTCCAATCCCGTCTTCCAATCTGTTTATTAAAAATTTAGTATTCCTTTGCTTTTAAATGTACCACTACATAACCACTATCAATTTAGTATCCTTTCTCATGTTGAAGATATTGTTTTTTTTTTTTCCCTTTACATTCTTATGTGAAACACTGATATTCCTTCTGTTACTACTGGACTTTATTTATAATAAGAGTCATTTGTCTACTCTATAATTTATGTTGTATTTTGTTAGAAGAATAATATAGTTATATCTACCTAGTTAGTGTTCTTAATCTTTGCAGTGTTTGGTCTACCGCCATTGATGCACTTACAGCATTTATTAGATGCTTTATTTCTCCAGATGTCACAAGTACTGGGGTTTTTCTTCAACCAGTGATTTTATACTTGAGCAGGTTGGTTTGTTTAGCTATTTAGTTGCTTTTTTAATTCTTTTTTAGTATATTTTTCAGAATATATTTTCTTCAAATTCATGCAAATTCCTGTTTTAGCTTTTATCTAAATATTAAATATTCTTGCAATTGAATGAAAAGCAGAGCCCTATCCTATATCTCATTATTAGCCGCCAAGGATCTGGCCAGTTTGAGACCTGCATTAAACATCTTGATCATAAGAACGTTAATTGCTTATCAGTCTCTTCCTGATCCCATGCTGTATAAGAATGACCACTCTCAGATTATTCAGTTATGCACAACTCCCTTCAGGTATTGAGCACCTTCAAATTATGGTTGTGTTATTATTTTTCCACTGTAATTTAATTTTTTCCCTTTAGTATTATTGGTACGACCGTTTGCTCCTGTTCGTTTGGTTAAATTGAAAGGGATGCTTATGGATGTGAAGAAAGCTCGTGCTTGAGGTTACTACTTGATAGACGAGATGCATGGTTGGGTCCTTGGATTCCTGGAAGGTGATAGTGATTACTTCTGTCTCTCAACATTAATTATTAGGTTCCATAATGTAACTTGGAGTTTTTGTGATTTAGGTTGTGTGTATATTTTCTTTCAAGTTTGATTAGGTTGAATGCTTTCATGTAATATTGGACTTGCCTTTTTGCATTGGCTCACCTTCCATACACACCTTCAAACGGACAAGAAGCAAAAAAGAAACAAGAAACTAGTTTTAGGGTTGTCCTTTAAAAGATTTCTCCCCTTTATTTGTTCACTTAGGGATTCATTCGAGGATGAGCTTCGTGCTTTTCAAGGGGGAAAGGATGGGCTTATTCCAACGATATGGGAAGATGAAATTTCAAATTTTCCTCAGGTGATTACCATTTTCTTCCTGCATGTTTTTAACTTTAATTGTTTTTTTCTTTTTTTTTTTTCTGAAATGAACAAATTGAAAAGATTGAAAAGAACTTATCCTCAATCTAAGTCATTTTTATTCAATACCTAAGTCATTTTTATTCAATACCTTTGCAATTTGTCGTGGTTGTAATTTATCCTCATTCTTGAAACCCTACAAAATTTCCCCACCTTTTCAGCTGCAATTTTGAAGTTTCTGTTCATGATTGTATTATTCTTTTTTGTATTGCCACAATGGAGTTTCACAGCAATGCAGTATCTTGCTCTGAAGTTAAATGATATACTCCTGTATTGTGGTTTAAAAAAGGACACTAAGCGCACAAAGAAGGTAGAAGTAAGAACAAACTAGAAACTTTGAGTAGTATTTCCTTACAAAACTATATTAAAGAATTGGAAAGGGAGGCCCAATATAAGAACCCACAATAATAAGATCCCAAACTTCCTCTTTTGAGGACTCTTTGTAAAATTCTCTTTCGAGGCCCAATATTTTCATTTATCTTAATGAAAAGTTCTGTTTACTATGAAAAAAAAAATTCTCTTGTTTCTTTTCAACCACCAGAACTTCTATGAAATAAGACCCGAATCCGAAGCCTCTTATTCCAAAAGGACAAGTTCTCATTCCTAAAAAGACAGCAGCTTTGAAAATTCGTGATTTTAGGCCTATAAGCCTTGGTTCCTCAATTTATAAGATAATGGCCAAGGTTTTAGCGGGGAACAAATTATAAGATAATGGCCAAGGTTTTAGTGGAACGCCTTAAGAAGGTTATGCCCTCAACAATATCCACTACTCAAAGTGCTTTTACTGAAGGAATGAATATTCTTGACCCAATCTTGATCGCCAACGAAGCAGTAGAGGATTATAAATCCCGAAAGAAAAGTGGTTGGATTCTTAAACTTGATCTTGAAAAGGCATTCGACAAGGTTGATTGGGCCTTTCTTGAGGCCGTTCTTTCACAAAAACAGTTTGGGAAGACAGTGCTGGAATTCTCTGCTGGAAGAATTTAATTTGGCATGGGTTTTTGGTAATGAGATGGTGGATAATCTGTGTCGGTTACTTATGGGGCCTGTCTTGAATCCCAAAGCTTCTGTCCTTTGGATTAACGGAGTAAAGGCCCTAGTGTATGAGTTGTGGTTTGAAAGGAATTCGAGGAATTTTGAAGATAAGAGACAATCTCCTTCAGCTCGTTTTGATCTTGTCAAATATAAGGCTTTGCAATGGAGTTCTTTATCTCCTTTATTTAATCCTTATTCTCCTAGTTTGATTTGTTCAAATTGGAGTGTTTTTGTTGCACCTTTCTAAGTTTCTTTATCTGTATTATTTTGTTTTTTACTTTTTACCCTCACTCTTTCGAGAGTTTGTATCTTTGAACAATTTTGTTCCTTTTCATTATCTTGATGAGAAGTTCGTTTCTTGTTCAAAAAAAAAAGACAAGAAGTTCTTAGAATTTGAAAGATTCAACCTTTATTTTAATTTTTTTTGAACAAGAAATAAAATGTTCAAGATACAAAACCCCCAAGGGGTGAAAAAAGAAAAGAAAAGAGAGAAGAATAGAAAAATAACGAATAAATATCGCAACAAGAGCAATACAAGCTCAAAAGAGATAAAAACATTCTAAAACAGAATTCAGAACAACTGTTTGCTGCCGAGCTTGGGAAAACAAACTAAATCCGGGGACAACAACCGCATGAGGGAAAAACCTTCGTTAGCACCAAGAACAAAGACCAAACTCCAAAAAGAACCAAGTAGAAGATAGGGCACAAGAACATACCGCAACCAAAATGCTAATAAGGAGAAAACACCAAATACAAAGCCTCAATGCTGTATGGATCCTTTTTTTGTTTTGTTTGTAGTTCCTCTGTTTTCTAGTTGGTTTTTTGGTCGTGTTTTGGTTGTTAGCGTTGGAGAATGTTATTTTCTTAGCTTTAGGGGTTTTCCTTGCTGGTTTGTTGTTTTGTTTTGCTGCTTGGGAGCAGATCTCTAGCTTCATGTGGCTAATGCTCGAGATTTTTGTTGCTAGGCTTTCTTTTGGTTTGTTGAGTGTGTTCTTTGGATTTTGGCTTTTTGAGTTTCTGGTTTCTATGTTGGTTTTGTGGGATTCATTTTTAGTTTAGTTCTTCTTGGGGCTCTTCTTTTTAACAAGATACGAACTTCTCCTGCAACATTCTGGGGTTGTTGCTCTGGCTTGATTTTATTTTTGGTTGGTAGTTTGTTTAATTTTTTAATAATTTTGTAGCTTTTCATCTATTATTAAAAAGTTGTTTCTTGGTAAAATAGAAAAAAGAAAGCAGACCCTATCCACAACAAAAAAATCTTCGAGAAGGAATCAGAACCAAGAAGCCATAAAATTCCTCCCCCATATCTGACTTAATAAAGGCTCTATTTTTAATGGAAAAGATCTCTCCTTTGAACGGTTTATAGAAATGATTATCCTTTTGGTTATTTCTTGGTGTAAATGTTCTCCCCATTTCCCCAACTATAGCCTTTCCTCTCTCATGTTCAGCTGGAAAAGCTTTCTGTAATCCCTTTTAGGGGCACTTTTGTAATTTCAAATCATCAATGAAATTGTTTCTTTTATCCCAAAAAAAAATAAAAAAATAAAAAATTACATAATAGTACCAATGATACAAAGAAATAAAAAAACTAAAACATAAACTGATTATACCCTTGGGCCTCATCTTCTCATGCTCCAAGATCGTCCCACCAGATGAAATTTCTCTAGATCTCTGTAGAGACTAAGGTTGGAGAGAATCCAATGTGATGTATTCTCATTATTAAAGTCTATATATATAGACAAATATACAAGGTTGACTTAATCCTATAAGGATAAGGTAAATGATAAATTAATATTAATACAAGAATATAAAATATACTAATATCTATACTCTAACAATCTCAAAGGTTGGAGCCTTTTGGATTCGGAGCTGTAAAAGATTATCAAAGCGAGGGTTGCCTGCTTAGAATACTTCTCCAGAAGAAAATTAAAGATTTAAGCCAATTATGAGAAGGAGCTTGCTGAAGGAATTAAAACAAGATTAACAAGAAATACAAAGCTTTGATTTTAGAAGTCGAGTCCGATGATAAAATTATCTCAGTAGGTTTCATTTCGTCATTTTTCAGCCTTTCCCATTCTTGTGGTTGGTTTTTCCTTTCTTTTTTTTTTTTGTATCGTTGAGCATTTTATTTCTTTTCATATAAAAAAAACTACGACTCTGAATCCCAACTCAAAACTAAAGGGACTGAACTTATAGAAAACTTACTACTATCTCTACTATCGAAATGCAAAAATAAAAGACAGAGGCTTGAACGTGATGAAGGCAGTCTTCACTTCTCCAAAAAGAGCATTCTGATTTCCTTTACATTTATATCAATGTTAAAAGACAGGCGAACACTTGAAGCAAAACAAGGAAGTCATCCACTTGAAAATTACAAGCAACAAACAATCGTCCAGAAGATGTGCATGGAGATCCTTTGAGAACCAGAATCTTTAAGCCCATAATCGAAAACTGATCTTCATCCACCCGTCTTAAAAAACTGCAAAAGCTTTCGAGAATCAATCTTCTATCTTTTGGCAGACCTTCTAACAGCATCAGAGAGAGAATAATTTTCTTACTTCTCTCTCTTTTTTCTCACATTTTGTTCTCTCGCTCTCTCGCTCTCTTTCTTTCTTTCCTTTCTTCTGTCTTTTTTCCCTTTTTTCCCCTCTCAAACTTTGCTTCTTCTTGAAACACGAGACTACAGAAGTTGTTCCTTTTGAAATCCCATCCTTCTAACCTTATGTAAAACCAAAAGAAAAAAAAACTACCAAACCAAGATCAATAGAGAAGTATATGAAAGAACATAACAAAAATAACCACTTGCTATACTCGTGACAGCCTACTTGAGAATTATTCTAAACTACCAGCAAAAGCCTTCCACAGAAAAACTCTTTAAAAGTATAATCTCCATTTATTTTCCGCATTGTATTAGCTTTTCTTATAGTACTAAATATGAGATCTATTATTTGTCATGGAAAACACAATAGCTTGTTTTTAGGTAAATTCCAGCTATCAGATACTTCTATCATGGGTGCTTGAAAATAGCAACAGGGTTTTTTCTTCATTGGTTTTTACTATTTTCTTGAATTCCCATCTATTATTTTGCATGTTATGGCCTTCATTTTACACTGAGAATTTATTTTGCACTTGAAGCCAGAGACAATAAACAAAAAATTGGTGAACGAGTTGCTCCTGTGCTTTGGGGTTATCTTTGCTTGTCAGGTTTGAAATGTATTGATTTGATTTGGATCTTTAAATATGTTTGCCAAAGATGGTGTTTACTTATGTTATTAACATGATTTTATAAATAAAATCAGGACAGTGGTGGAATGCTGTCTCTTCTTGGAGTTATGGAGCAGTGTCTGAAAGCTGGAAAGAAACAGCCATGGCATTCTGCTAGTGTCACTAATATATGTGTGGGGCTGCTTGCAGGTTTCAAGGTGATGACTACATTCTATTATTTGTTGGTGTAGTTTTTTGAGGCCTTGACATTTAAAAATGAACCTCTAAATTCTGTTAGGCGCTTTTGTCTTTGCGTGTGCAACCTGTAAGCCTGGAGGTTTTAAGTTCTGCCCAGGGTATTCTTCAGGTATTTATTTATTTATTTATTTTTTTGGTTATGTATTCCTTGATCAATTAGGATTATTTTAATTGTTGCTTCCAATTACATTTTTCTTAGAGATTTTGATTTGAACAGAGTATTCTTGCTGCTGGAGATATTTGTGCATCACAACGTAGAGCTTCTGCTGAAGGTCTTGGGTTATTAGCCCGTCTTGGGAATGACATTTTCACTGCAAGAATGGTATACTCTTTTAATTCACTTGCTTAAATTTCTCTCTCTATATAAAGGATTATATGCTAGGAAGGTGGCATGCTTCTGATTTTCTAGTTTATCTTCATCATCAATTTACTTCCAGATTTTCTCTTTCTCAGTCTTGAGTGTTATATAAACAGATCAGATCGCTACTTGGCGACCTAACTGGGATGACAGACTCTACCTATGCTGGGTCAATTGCTTTGGCACTCGGCTGCATACATAGAAGGTAGGTAGTTCAATTGTTCTCTTATCTTTTGAATTGCCTTTTGTCTTTTGATTCTTTTCTATTTTATTTTACACCACCAAAAGCTCTGAAATTTCTTTGTCAGTTGTTGCCACTTTTGGTTAAGACTTAAGAGGGTGTTCTGGTCTGGGGTTCGATTGAGTTGGGTTGGTTAAGA